TGATAAACCGCTGGTGACTGCCTTTGTTTTCCAGTAAGTTTAGGAAGTATATATTAATTCATATTCACTGTTGAAAATTTTAAAATGGTAAAGAGAAGAAAATGGAAACCACCCCTAATCGCCACCCCAGAGAGAAATCCTGGTGCCACCTCGTCAGCACAGGACGTTAAGGACTCTGACGCCTGACTACCTGTAAGTGGTGAAGCCCCAACTCCAGAATTCTGCCCTCATATTTTTCAATTGCAACCATCACTTCTTAGCATCATCAGAAACCTGTGCTCCATGCCACAGCACGGGCACACACCAGCATCCCAGCCCTGAGGCAGACGCGGAAGGACCACTACAGTTCAGGTCCCATCGGGGGACTTAGCAAGACCTTGTTGCAAATAAATAAATAAAAAGGGCTGGGGTTATAGCTCAGTGGGAGGGTCCTGAGTTCAATCCCTACTGCTTAAAAAAAATCTGCACTTATACTGATTAGTGATAAAAGAAATTCAACAAATATAAAAGATACAAAGTAGAAGATACAGAAAAATTATAGTTTTCAAGTAAAATATAAAGGAAATAATATATATTTAGCCAAATTACATCTGGTACAACTTATATTTTTAACATTTAAAATATCAAAATTAGAAAAAATTTAAAATCACATTGCTTCATTATTTACAGACATCAGAAAATGCAGAAATATCCTATTAGGGAGGAGTGTAGTTTGGTAACAGAATACATGCTTAGCATGCCAAGGCCCTGAATTCAAACCCCAGCACACACATACACATACACAAAGTACCACTGTAAGTCACATACATCTGCCATCAATTCAGTACTAGAAGAAAAAGAATTTAAAGTTCAAACAAAATAGCCTCTTATTCTTACCAAATGAAAGTAGGTCTTTAGCTCTGTAAATCTACTTAATTCAAATAGTCAGATTAAAAGATTCTTGAGAGGATCAGCTTTTCTCAAAGTCCACATCTTTAACGATGTTCAAGATAGAAAGAGATTCCTCCGATCTTCTATTTATGTTATTTAACTTGATAAAGTAAAATGTACCCCAGGAAGTTACACCCAATTACTTGGTAAAGCACATGTCTCATTTCCTAACCCAAACAATTCACATTAAGATTTACTGTCATTTAAACCATACATATAAAAATAACTGCTTTAAACATACACAAGTTTAACAAACATTTAGCAGAGTTGTACTAAAAGTAACAAAAAGCATACATAGGTTTCATCAAACAATACCATTTATAAGAATTAATGAATAAAAATACTTCAAAAGTAGCCAGGCAGGGTGGCACATACCTGTAATCCCAGAACTCAGGGGGCTGAGGCTGGAGGACTGCTTGAGGCCAGCCTGGACTACAGAGTGAGTACAAGGCCAGCCCGAACTGCATACGGAGACCCTGACTCAAAAAGATAAAAAAGGAAAAAAAAAAAAAAAATACCTTCCAAAGTTAACAAAAAAAATTCTATGCCATAAAGATAAATCATAGAAAGAAGAATAAAAATATAATCATGGAATTATTCCTTAGAAAGAAACAGTTAAAGCAACTATTAAACATTAAAAAAATAGGAAGTGGGTTCTGGGGATACAGCTCAGGGGTAGAGCATTCGCCTAAGCATGCAAAGGCCCTCAGCTCAGTTCCACAATGCAAAAAACAAAAAAAGGAAATGGTTAAACAAACCAACTTGATGGATTACCCAGTTATGACACAGGGTAACTATGAAATACAAAGGATGGAAAAAGATATTCAAAAAGTTAAGAAAAGAAGCCAGATTCTAAAAACATATGCATACAGTTTTACATACTTGCCTATATGCTACTCAAGTTGAAGTTTTCCTTAAAAACATATGTAAACCATTGATGCAATATTTTACATCGAGTTACTAGCCCAAAATGAAGGTATTGGCAAAGATATGAATTAAAAAGAATTCTCATACACTGCTAATGGGAAAATTGAGACAGTCAATCTGGAAAACAATCCAGCATTATCTTTTCAAAATAAACATGTGGCCTAGCACCGTGGTGCAGGCCTGTAATCCCACACTTGGGAGGCTGAGGCAAGAGAATCTTTGCTAGTTTGAGGCCAGTCTGGGCTACAAAGTGAGTTCAAAGCCAGCCTGAACTGAAGGGTGAGACCCTGTCTCAAAAAGACACAAAAATAAATAAATAAACATACGGAGGCTCTATGGCCAGTAATTCCACTCCTAGGTATCTCAGAGAAATTCTTATAAATGTGCCTCAGAAGACACAGTGCTCAATGGCAAAACACTGGAAACAACCCAAATGTTCACAGCAAAAAGGATGAACGCCCTGTGCAATGCATACTGTGAAATACAGCAGCCTAAATAAATGAAACTCAAATATATGCAATGAATGAATTTCATCCACGCACTAAGTAAAAAGAACACAATCAAGGCACAGACCATAAAATACAGTTTAATGCCATTTCTGTAGAGCTTAGAGCAAACAAAACAAGAGATATTTTTAAATGTCTAATAGACCCCAAAATGCTAAGAGTGGTCAACAGAGCAGCTGACCAGCACCAAGATGGGGAGGAACATCAGCAGCAGACAGCGGCCCTCACAGCGCCCGGATTCCACGCGGCCCTGCCAGGCTGGCCTGGCCTCAGCCACACCACGGCGTCCCTTGATTCTCAGTGTCCGGGACTCTGATGCAGTCACTCCACCAGCTTTCCTGATCCTCCAGCTTGCAGAAATCACGGGATTTCTCAGACTCCATAACTGCACGAGCCAATTCCCCTAATAAAGACCCCCTTTTTATATAAAACTAACAATGTCTTAATTCTCCATTTCAGAGCAGGTTCATATTCACTTCATCACAAGACTCTAACTGATAACCACGCTATAAGATAGTCTTTTATGTGAGTCAAATACTAAAATTTTTTTAAGATTTTATTTAATACTTATAATCATGGAAAAATTTACAGTTAAGAAAACAGAAACCAACAAAAAACATACCTATAGTACTAGCAGACTGGTAAAATGTGTGATTCCTTTTTCTAGATTTTCTGTAATTTAATTATGCTGCTTTTTTTTTTTTTTTTTTTTTTTTTTTTTAATATATCCTCTGGAAGATACACAAGCAACTAGTATCATTGCCTCCTTCCAGGGAAAGAAACTAGAAACAAGCACTGGTTCAGGAAAAGTAATAAACTTTTCTCAAAATGCCTTGCTTTTACTTTGTTTGTACACCAAATTAATTTACTCATATAACATATTCAAGAAGATTTGTATTTGAACTTAAATGTAAATTTCTAAAAACAGTCATATAAAAGATTGAACCTATTTCTGAAGTAGGTTAACTTTTTATCTTTTTTATCTAACAAAGTTTCTTTTAAAAAGAAAAACAAGGTTTCTTTTCTTTGTTTGTTTTGTCTTTTTGAGACAGGGTCTCTCTAGATAGTTCAGGCTGGCCTTGCCTTCACTTTGAAGCCTAACCTGCCCCAGAACTTGCAACTTGCTGCCTAGGAAAAGGAGTTTTTACAAACAGTTATATTATTGCTTTCTGTGGTCCTCAGAGTGTACTGAGACACCACAGAAGCACTGCCAGGATATTCTAAACTTCCAGGGAAACTTTTACTGAACAGCACGCAAGCCACTAGCTCGAGATACCACATTCAACGTTAGTTCATGTTGCATTCCTGTCAAAGAGGGCTCATCTTCACAGAGCTGGAACTTTACCAGTTGCTAAGGCAAACTGTAAGTACCAAAGAGAAAACAGATGCAGAATAGGAAAGGCTGGGGTATTCTGCCTGATCCCAAGTTTGAGAATACGTGTAGCACCCAAGAGGTATGCAATTGTGGTTGTTTAAGAATGAGATAAAATGAAATAAAAACAATTAAGATGCCACATGAATTAAATCTCCACAGTGAATGGAATCATTGTGCACTCCCAACATGTACCAATAAACATTTTTTTTTAAATGAGATAAAACCAGATGTTGGTGCATGCCTATAATCCCAGCACTCAAGGGGTTGAGCCAGAAGGTTCACCACTAAGTTCAAAGTCAGGCTGGAGTATAGGAGATCAAGGTCAGTTTGAATTACACAACAAGACCTTGTCTTAAAAACCCTAGGTTTGATCCCCAGCACCACACACAAACACACAAAAAATTAAAAACAATTAAAAATCAAGCCAGGCAAGGTGGTGCATGCCTGTAATTCCAGTACTCAGAAGGCTGAGGCAGGAGGATCACTGCAAGTTTGAGACCAGCCTGGGTCAGCCTGAAATGCATAGCAAGACACTGACTCAAAAAAAAAAAAACAAAAACAAACAAACAAAAAAAAAAAATACAGGCTGGGGATTTAGCTCAGCAGCTTAAGCACCTGCCTGGCAAGCCTGAGGTTGTGAGCTCAATCCCTGGTACCAAAAAAAAAAAAAAAAAAAAAAAAAAAAAAAAAAGAAAAACAAAAATACATAACTAAATTTTATTCTTTCAATTTATGTTACTTTTTCTGTTTTTTTTTTTTTTTTTTCATTTTTATCGGTACTGGGGATCTTATGTTACTTTTTCAAACACCTATGAAGCTGTTGGAGGTAAGTATTAACTTCTTTAGACTTACTTTGTAAGAGGAAACACCTTATAAATTTCTTTCGACCTACCTTTATGTACCACTAAAAAACGACCAAGTCATTAAGGGTGCAACTGAAAAGTTTGGGAACTTTTAATTCATTTGCAAAAGAAACAAAAACAAACCTACAACTAAAGCCCTAAAGGACCCAGAAGTCTTAAATGTTATTTGTGAATTTGCTATATCTTTTGTACAGAAAGCTTTAAACAGAACTAAAGCCTTATATAATCACCAAGGAACAAAGCTCTCCCACTACTAACCTGTTCCATGGAGGACACATGAAGACGTATAAATAACCTTTGCTTTTTACAGTGAGATTTGCCAGATATATCTCTGGAGGCTTAAAAGGTCTACTGATAAACCAAACCGAAAAAGCAACTTGGAGAAAGGAGGCCACTCACCGTCTGGCCCTCAATAGCAGCTCGCTGGCGCCCCAGGACGTCCTGCAGCTGAGTGAAGTGCTGAATGAAGGCCACCACCTCGGCCTGGAAGCGCTGCGTGTGCACGTACTGCACGGAGGCCATCTGCAGGCTCACCCGCATGTCGTGCTCCCTCCGGAGCAGAGGGTCGGGCTGCCCGTATCTAGGGTGAGGAAAAGTCATGACTAAGACCACGGCCTTCAGGAGGCAGCACCTCCTCTGGAGGAGGAGCACCATGGGTCTGAGGCCAGCCTGTGCCACATGGTCAGTTCAAGGCCACACTTAACTACGTAGTGAGACCCTGTCTCAAGAGGAAAACAAACAACCCAGCTTCAATATTAAAATGAAACCTAGCCTGGCGTGGTGGCGCACACCTGTAATCCCAGCACTCGGGATGCTGAGACAGAAGGATCATTGCAAGTATGAGACCAGCCTGGTCTATAAAGCAAGCTCAAGGTCAGCCTGAACTGCATAGCAAGACCCTCTCTCAAAAAGACCCAAAAAAAGAAAAAAAGTTAAATTGAAACCTCCACAAATGAATCCCTTTCAAGTAACACACAGAGGTCATGCCCAGTCCGCTGGGATACCCAGGGCTCCACAGCATGGGCAACTCCCAGACCTGTGCTCACCCAGGAGCTCCCTGTGCTCTGACCTTCCCCCATGTCTTTTCTGGGTCTTTGGGAGAAAGGTATATTCCTGCAATGGCCATCCCTGCCAAAGACGATGACAATGTGGACTATGAAGATAGTAATTTTAAAAAAGTCCACAAACTGATGGGCAAAAAATCAGGCCTCATAACCAGTGTTTCCGGGAAAACTGTCTTGTGGAGACAGAAGTCCACGCCATACTTCACTAAAATGTAGACCAAAGAAGAATGGACTCTCAATTTAAATTGGAAGACTTTTGTAATCATTTAAAATTCAATAGAGCATAATACTATAGAAGAAATTATTATACAGTACATAGTCAAAATGGGGACAGAAATTCACATTTGCTAAGCACCCATTTTGTGCCAGAGAAATAGAAGAGTTTTACAGTAATTATCTCATTTTCTGCAGAATCATGCCACTGCAGTGTATACAAATCGATCTCGATTTCCATCGAGTGCAGTAATATTCTACTGGGTATACAGTAGCCCTGAAAAAGTCCAGACTTTGTTTTGGTTTGGTTTACAGGGCTGGGGACTGAACCCAGAGCTTCACAAACGCCAGGCAATAGCTCCAACACTGAGCTACATTCCTAGCCCACAGAGACCTTTTAGAACAGTTTTCTTCAATCCCGGATGGACACTCGTACATTAAAAAGGGGGGAAGCAGACTGAACACTGCCCTAGACCAATCAAACCAGAATACCCATGGGCAGACTTGGGCAGCCATGTTTTCTTACACCTTTCAGAGAGGGAAATAACTACCATTTGAAACTGCCTGTCTTGCTGGGAGTGGTGGCCCACACCTATAATCCTAGCACTCAGCACACTGAGGCAGGCTGAGGCAGAGGAGCACTGTGAGTTCAAGACCAGCCAGAACTACACAGTGAGACCCTGTCTCAAAATGCGAAACAAAACTAAACAAAAAAACACTCTGTCTTCTGAGAAAATCATTTTTTAAAATATAGACATGCCTAAAGATGCCTTCTAAAATAAAAAGTATTCAGGAGCAGGGTACAGCTCAGTGGCATAAGCACCTGCTTAGCAAGCACATGGTCCTGAGTTCAATTCCCATAAATAAATAAAATAAAAAGTATTCAATACAGATCGTTTATAAAATACATATTATAAAAAATAATATAATTTGTGACTGGTCATCAACAACACTCTTAAACTGAAATCACTCCCAAATCTTAGGGCTACATGAAAACTTAGAAACGATCTCAGTCCCTTGGGCTTTTATAGAGAAAAACTAATGCATGGAGATTAAGTAACTTGCCCGAGGCCACATACAGAAGCCAGTATGAGGCCAGGCCTAATAATCAGAATTTATACCCAACCTATATATGATGCCTGAACAGCCCACTTAAATACAGTGGGCTGTATTTAAGCCCTCTTCAAACAAAAATCCATTCAAATCAGGACCCTCACATCAGATCTTGACAACTCGAAGAAGGTAAAATTTTCTTAAATTCTTCTTTGTTGGTGAGCCAACAAGAATTGTAACACAGGGCTGAGGATTTAACTCAGTGGCACAAGTGCCTCCCTGGCAAGCGTGAGGTGATGAGTTCGATTCCACACCACCACCACCAAAAAAAAAAAACCATAACCCATTCATAACAGGGCTGTAGTTTGCCCATCTTACCACCAGGTGGCTTGAACCTTTGGTGGTGCCTGCATCACTGTCCCATCTGGAGGCTTTTTATTAATTTTATTAGTAAAAAGACCGATAAAAGTGATTAGATCTATTTGTACCACCTGTGGTACAAACCATCAGATGGGATGGTCATGCAGGTGGTTGAACCTGGCAGGAATGTCATGCTAAACAGCAAGTGATTACAAAACGCTGTCGAGAAGGACAAAAAGGACTTTTTTTACTTAAAAGCCTGGAAGATGAGCGCCTCTTCTCCGCTCGTCGTGAAGCGTTCTCTGTAGAACTCTCCATGGGATGTGAGGTCACTCAGAGACAGACTCCCAATGCTGCCCTGCAAGGCCAGGTCTCCCTCTAGGGACATTAAATGACAACATGTTAGTATGCACCTCTTTGCATCATTCACTTTTACTTTTTAATCAAACTAAACGTCAGGTGCAAATTTTCATATCTCAGAACACCCAGAAATGTATTTCATGTCATGTTTCAGAGAGTCTCTATGCTGAAGTCCAAAGAGAGGTGAAGGAATCCAGTGACCTTATGCCCAAACCTGATGTGGGGAAAATAAAGTAAATGCATACACAATTTACAGGACAAAACATTCACCAATACAAAGGAAACCACAATCCACTGTGAGTGCACCACTAATTATAAATTAGTGACACAATGCAGGGCCTACCAATTGCAAGAGTAAAAGAGGAACTGTTGGGGCCGGAAGTTTGGCTCAGCTCAGTGGCACAGGGCCTGCCTGGCAAGCCCAAGCCGTGAGTTTGACCCCCATTCCAAAAACATAAAAAAGAGGAAGTGTTAGGAGCATGTCAGGGGGCCAAGCAACAGCGCGGGGCTTCACTGTGCTTTAATAGAAGAGTGAAATCAAAGGGCTGAGGACACAGGAGACACTGACCAAGCAGGTCTGAGACACAACAGCAGAGTCCACAAGGCAAGAGCGGGAAAAGGGGCCATGAAGCGTGGATGGTGCTCCCTGACCCTGACAGCAGCGCTCAGCACTGTGTGGACACTGGAAAGAAGCGTTCTCAACTGCTGCTTCCTGCAAACAAAATCCATCATCAGGATGACTACGTAGCTCTCCTACCATCACTACACTGCCCCCTGCAGCACGCCAGCACCGCCGCCCTGTAACTGAAGGCACATGCTTACATTTCATTCTTAAACTCCGCTACCAAAAAATACCCAAGTTTCTCACAGTTTTAAAGGCCAATCAGCTGGTGTGGTGGTGCACGCCTGTAATCCCAGCACTCGGGAGGCTGAGACAGGAGGACTGCTACGAGTTTGAGGCCAACTGGGCTACAAAGTGAGTCCAAGAGTCCAAGACCAGCCTGAACTGCACAGTGAAACTCTGTCTCAAAAAGACCAAAAAAAAAAAAAAAAAATCCAATCTCTTCTGGGAAGCTTTTCTAAAATAATTTTAGTATAAATTCTAGCATGAAGCCAGTTGAGACCCTTTCTCAAAAAAAAACCCTACAAAATCAAATTATTAGGTCAGCAGTGGGAGAGGAGCAAATGAAGGTAGTTATGCCAGACACCTGCATATTTAACCAACTATCTAGACTATCCTGATCCAAAAGCCAGTTTTTGAGGACACCTACCATAACTCATGGCCAGACCATAAGCAAGCCACTGATCCGCACCTTACTCAGCATGGAAAGACAGCTGGATTTCTGTCGGGATGTTCAAGTACCAGCTTTGCAAGCTTCAGGCTTGCCCACTTACCAATCATTTCCAGGTGTGCTGCTAATTTGGACACATTGGCTTTAGCAAGCTCGCTGGTGGTCTTGTTCAGCACGAGAGAGAGCGAATGAACCTAGAATTGATGAGAATACAAAGGAAGGCAACTATTACAAGCGGGACAGGGCATCTTCCAAGGACAGAATGAAGGCAAGGAAGGTGCAGACATGCTTGAGACACTTGCAGGTGAAACTTTTCACGACGTCAGTTTCATTTCTGCTCTGTTCTCTCTGTCCAACTGTGACCTCCTGATAGAACTGACAAGAAACGAACTCAGTCAGGCAACCTGAATCCTGGCTCAGTACACTTCTCAATGCCTATCAGGCCGAAAACCTGTCAGTGATGCTGTATTTATAAAAGGACTTCTCCCATTTTGGTATTCATTGTAAACACTGCACAATTCTGCAGCAACTCAGATTTATGTAGTGAAGTCTCTCTTCTAAGAAATTCACCAAGGCAAAACGATGAAAGTGATTTACAGTGCTGCCCGATGCCTCTGAAAAAACATTTCACAGAAGTTTCTGATGACCAAACAGGACTTCATTTAGGGACTACAAAAAAGATTCTTCCTTACAGGGAAAACTCTGAACAGAAGGCAAACAAAATCTTGTCATGGGAACGGCATTCCTTATAATAAAGAAATTCTGTTATTTAATATTGTAAGTATAAACACTAAAAAGATATAAGTGTCTGAGACTTGTTGAGTTGGGTCACAACAAGCTCTCTCACTCAGAAAACCAGCACCAGGGACCGGGCACCGGTCAAAGAGAAGCGGGAGAGAGGAGGAGACGCAGAGCTGCGAGTCTCCAGCTCCCGCCCACGGCTGGTGCCAGAGGCAGAGGCCAGCCTCTAGTGGCCTCCACCTTCAGTGCCTACTGCGGATGCCTGGGGAATGAATGCCTGGGAGGAAAAACGGAAAATAACAAGAGAAAAAGAAGAAGGAAGAACAGCTACAGAATAAGGCAGAGGGGAAAGAGCAGATTTTTATGGCCGAGCAGGGACCCGGGCAGGGCAGCTCCAGGTCCCTTGGAGTAGGGTTTTTGGCAGAAGCCACAGAAAGATATTAAGGCATCAAGAGCATCACGAAGGGGGAAACAGGAAAAGCTCAGTCAGTCACCAAAGTAACACATCTAATGGGTGCAAAATGCTTTGTTTGGAGGAGTCTGGCCATCGCCACCTGACCCCACTCGTGGCATGAGTCTGAGGTCACTAAAGACAGCTCTGGGAGGCAACAGGAAGCATGGGCCAGGTTCTCACCCAGCAGCGCACCTGAATCCGATCCTCCAGGACTAACTGCCATTTCCAAAGACAAGAGAACAAAGACCTCAGAAACAAGGAAAGAGACAAACCCAGACTGCAGGACACACTCGAGACTCTGCCCCAGCTGTCTAGAAAGTTAAATGTGTGGGCAGAATAAAAAGGGAGAAGGGCTGATTTACTTTAAGTGAAAGAGATTTACAAAATGTGACAGCAGGCATTGCTTGGTGGCACATGCCTATAATCTCAGTGCTGGCTGAGGCTGAGGCAAGAGGTGAGTTTGAGGCCAGCTTGGGCTACATAATGAGCTCAAGGCCAGTCTGAACTATATAGCAAGACTGTCATAAAAACCCAAAGGAGCCAGGCATGGTGTGCACACCTGTATTCCCGTCACTCAGCATGCTGAGGCAGGAGGATCACCATGAGTGAGACCAGCCTGGGCTACACAGTGAGACTTTGTCTCCAAAAAAACACCACAACAGGGGGAAAAATGTGACGGAAAATACAACGTGTGAACCTTGGAGCCCAAAATCAATGTTACTGAATTCTCCTCATTCTATAGAAAAGGAAACTGGCTAAGAAAGCATAATATCCCACCGAATTACAAAGACCACAGGAAAATCACACATTTTCTTTAACCCATTCACTCCTCTACAATCTATAATAAAAGGGCATTTTGGGGGAAAAAACAGGAAAATCTGAGTTAGGACTGGCAGGTGTTACATCATACCAAGGCATTCCTGTTAATTTAGTTAGATGTGACATGTATTGTGGTTATGCAAGAAAATACTCATTCTTCATTAGAAATTCATGCACAAGGATCTTGAGATGAAATAATGTTTTCTGGAATTTGCTTTAAAATCCTTGAGCAAAGACAAAATGGCAATAAAGTAAATGTGATGAACTACAAGGTTGGGGACATGGGAGTTTGTTAGACTCTTTCTCTATGACATATTTTAAAGTTTTCAAAATAAATACTATTTTTTTATTTTTTATTTTTTTTTGGTCTTTTTCCTTTTTATCGGTTCCGGGGATCGAACTCACGACTGCCTGCTTGCAAGGCAGGCGCCTATGCCACTGAGCTAAATCCCCAGCCCCAAATATTATTTTTCAAAACTTTTTATTTCAGAAAGCGCGTGTGGAGGGGCTGTTTCCTGGTCGTCTTCTCCAGGAGAACCAGCCACCTCAGCAGTACTGCGCCCCAGGCAGCACCTGCAGAGGGTTGACCGCAGCACGCTCGTGGACACACGACTCCGAGCAGCCCGCAAGCACTGCGTCTGCAGGCCCCAGCTGAGCGCACTCACTGGCCACTGAGAAGGAAAGCAGCCCTGGCTCCTTCCCATCCCTCCCTGAGAGCGCTTCCCTTTCCAGAGGCACGCAGCCCACCAACCAGCTGGGGAATAAGACAACGGCCCTGGGAAACACTCTCCTCCCTGCCTCACCCCAGGAGTGTGCGCGAGACACACACGCCTGGACACAGAAACGAAGCAAGGCACATATGTGAACCACCAAGAGCCAGCTCAGTCCTCCACGTCAAACGCCACCTACCCTACGGCTCTTTAATGCACTTATGGTACGAGGCGAGGTCCATGTAAACATGACAGCAGTAATGGCTACCCCTCACTCGATGTTCACTGCGAGCCACGTGTGCCATCGCCCCAATGAACACTCACAGGTCCCACAGCACAGGCACCATTGAACACCCTCTTACTCGTGAAGCCGGGAGGGGAGAGCAGGCTAAATGATTTGCCAAAGCCACCAGGTGATGGATAGGGACAGTGAAGTTACTGGGAGTCAGAGGCAGGCAGTCTGACTTTAGAGACATCATTTCTGACTAACGGCTACGTTCTTGCCTTCAATGAAAACAAATATTTACAGAAAATGGGGAGAGAATAATAAAAGGCCATACTTGAACGTTACTGATATACAAGACATGTTGCTCAGTGCTTGGTATACATGACCTCACTTCATTATCTTAGATGACAGATTTGGAAACTGAGACTAGAAAAAGCAACGTAATGAATTACATAACCCAAAAGTAAGATCCAAAAAAAAAAAGGTTAAGTTCCTTAAACTGCTTATCTTCCCTGCCTCCAGATGGACTTTACACCAAAACCTTTTCTGAAATACTAATGCCCACCCTTTTGTCAAAAGACTATAAAGCTCTCCTGCCAATGAAAGCTATTCTCCACAATAAATGCACAATATTCACATCTATCTAATGAGCAGACTCAAGCTCAGTTTTCGAACACGATGGGGCACAGGTAACCGATACCTTGAGGTCCAGCTTAGTGTTAACTGGGTCCTGCAGGGTAGGCCCTGTTGAGGCGCTGGACTCTGACTTCACACTATGCACAGTGTCCTCTGGCAGGACTTTCAGGGCGTGGTTGTCTGCAGTGGAGCCAATTCCAAAGAAGTCCAATATCACAACCCAGGTTTGCAGGGTGATCAGCACGTCCAGGCAGTTAAAATCAACGTCAATGCTTCGGTTAACACGATCATAACTGGAAGAGAATTCTGGGTGTTTCTTATCCACCAAGAACACATTGATGTGGACCAAGGAATCATCAAATTTACTCTTTCCAGCAAGTACCTTGGGCTCATCTACTGTTGGAGAAGGAGGTGGCGTCAAGGGATAGTCCTTGTCCAGGACTTCCTTTTGCTTCTTCCGGGACGCAGACGTGGGTCTCTGGTACAGCTGAAAGACGTTAGGAGCTTCCTCCATGTGGGACGGGAGAGACCGCGGCATATCGGGATACTCCACGTTGGACACCGAAGGGCAAGACTGCGACAGGTATTCTTTCTGCGCTAAGCTGGACGGCTTGGGAGCGCCTCGAGACACCATCAGGTTCTTGTATTTGGAATCTGGGTTTTTCTCTAACAAGTCTTCCATCAGCAGGGACCGCAGGGCGATCTGGATGGATAAGGTCTGAGGGTGATCCTTACTGAATTCCACCTCAAAATCCTGAAACTTTAAGCTCACTAGACCTTGGGCTCCCAGAGTCAGATCTCCACTCAGCTGAACCTGAAGCTCTGATATACAAAAGTTCGCCTGAATCTGAGTAAAGGCTTTGGCTTCCTTCAGGGACAAAGACCTCTGAGAAGCGCTGGAAAGGCTGGAGTGGCTGAACAGTCCGTTCTCCTTCCTCTCCACAGCAGGCTCTCCGCAGGCCCTGAGGGCCGGCAGAGGAGAGCTAGGGCAGGGGGAGGAGGCAGTGCTGGCCGGAAACTTGTTCAGATCCTCACTATACACGAGGTTGTCCAGTGTTTGCAAAACCTGCTCATAGACGTGCTTGGCCAACACCACCTGCGTTCAGAGGGAAAAAGTCGTTACTCTAACACTTTTACTATTCACACTCAGATGCAGTGTCCATAAACTTTCACAGTTGATGTTTCTGGGTTTCCCACAAGATTGCAAGACAGTAGATAGAAAGTGTTACCCTTTCTTTTCTTTTCTTTCTTTTTTTTTTTTTAATTCTTTTTTTTTTTTAGCCCTTTGTCTCTGTCTTGTTTTTGTTTTTTTGAAACTGGGTCTCACTAGCAGTCCAGGCTACTCTTGAACTCACCGTGTAGCCCAGGATGGCCTTGAATTTACAGTGATCCTCCTGCCTCAGCCTCCCAAATGCTGGGATTACAGCCGTGAGCCATCATCCCTCCCGCAGCTTCTCCCTTCACTCCTTCTCCCCCACCTCTATTCGTGAAGCTCTTCCCTGGCACTCTGTAGCATAATCTACATACAGTAAACTTTTTGTTCAGTAACTGCTGACTGTGTGCCTGGATCAGCAAAGCCATTCTTCTTAACCACACAAAAGAACTGCAGAAACTGAAGAGATTATTGCCTAACGCCTGCTGTGGATACATCACAGGACTGAGAAACAAGACTCCGCTTTCACAGCGGCTGGGCATCACCAATTACAGTAACAACTAACGTTTACCACTTTTTAAATGATAAAGAGAATGAGCCACGATTACTTATCACTTATTTCTTTTCCACTTTCTCCTTTTTTTATAATGCTCTTTGCTTTACTCCCTGTAAAATAAATTTTAAGAAGCGGCAGTCTGGAAGAACAAAGGGTGTAGACACAGTGCTCCCACCGCCACACACGCCCACAAAACCTCCATCCCGAGGCATTTCACTTCAGAGACCACAAGACAATTACACTCTTCCCTAACATGCCCAAAGTGTGACAAGAACTGGATCCTCTTAGGAAACAGAGCACTTACTTTTTAAGCAATTAACTTTCCTGCCTCTGATTGGTAATAAAGCTAAGGATCTGTCTTCTTCCTCTGCACTAGTCACCCTTATTCCCCATGAAGAAGACGAACAGGACAGAGTGCCCAATGCTAAAAAGACTCTGCAGTTACTGGAACAAATTATTGACAAGCCACATGCATTAATGATATTTCCTTAAAGTTTTATATGTGCCTTCAAACATTTAATGTACGTAAATACACAATATATTATGAATTATCTAGGTTTATATAACATAAACATAAAATAAACACATAGGCTAAACATTCCTAATCTGAAATCCAATAGGATGGTCAAAAAGTTTCAGATTTTTGGAACACTATGGATTTCAGGTTTTTGAATCATAGATACTCAATCGATTGATAAAGCCTCTGCAAATATTTCAACATCCAAAGTCTAAAACACTTCTGGGCCCACTCAATCTGTGTGTGACCTCAACTCCCCTGACGTGAAAATCAATTGCGTGATTACCTGAACCGGATTGACAAATTTCCCTTCGATCTTCATGATGCTAGCAGTTCCCAGGTCATCTGGACTCAGAGAGAAAGTCAGTTCAGATTCTCTCTCAATGGGGATCTTCTCCAGTTTAAACTGAATGGTGGTGTTGTTCAAGATGTGAAAAGCTGGCAGAAATCAGAGGAAACAAGACTGTAAACACTAGTAGCTGCTTTGTTGTTGCTGGTCAAGTGGAGAAGGGCTAAAATAGAGCCCCCGAGTTACTCTCAGACCAGGAAGGCAAATCAGCGTGGCTCCTGGAGTCTTTGATTGAGAAAAAACATTGATGGCTATCCAGAAGCCAAACTAACAAGCAGAGGTGCAAGATAAACTGATGGGGCTACAATAATTCAACTAAGAAAGATCTACAGCCAAGCACAAGGAAATCAGGTATGCCTGATACATGAAGCAACAGTGTAACAGAATTCATCCCCTGCAGCGTCCTTAAATGAGCACTCATCCAATTTCAAACGGGTGAGACTGAAATACTTTTTCAAAAAGTCCTTACTTCCCAAAAAGTGTTCAATAAAAAAATGTTTTTAAAAAAGTAAAGCATTTTATTAAAATCCTATAATGCTGGGGATGTAGCTCAGTGACAGTGTTTGCCTAGCATGAACAAGGTCCTGGTTTTAACCCCCAGCATGACAAAAAAATAAAATAAGTAAATAAATGAAATCCTATTACGATTTCTAAAATATTTACTGAGGATAATTCTAAAAGAAAATGCTTTGCTGTAGTCGGTTTTTAGCAAAATATTACACGAGCTGGGTTTTGAACCTCTAAACAAAATGAAACAACACATCTGCTGCTCACCTTGACCTCTGTGCAAAGATTCAAAGAAATCGTGTCGTGTGAAGTGAGCTTCCTCCTGACTGCTGACACTGGCGGACCCCGAGGGAGGGCAAAAGGGCCGATTTACTTCAGACCCAGAGGCTTCTCTGCCTGCCAGCTGAGAGCATTTCAAAGAATACAGCTTAATGTCCTTGATTTCTACCTGCAGACGGTCACTTCGCGACTCGTCGTCTCCTGCCACAAAGTTCTGGATGAATATCTGTCCCAAGTGTCCCACCAACAGCTCAGGACTCCCAGGCTTCCGGGGGATGGAGACGACGGGCGACTCGATGTTTATGTTCAGGATCAGCTTTACAGTGTCGGCGTGAGACGAAGCCAGGTCAAACCCGTATACTTCACTCTCCTCCAAGACAAAGGGCTCCCGCGTCTTCCTGGGAGTTTCGAAGAGGGACACCATCTCGCTGTACTCAGCGGTTTTGGTAGCCAACACGGTGGTGACTTTGCTGGCAGCGCTCTTCAGCATGCTGCGAAAGTTTTCCTCCAGCTCATCCATGGACAATGTCAGCTCCTTCAGGAATTTAGCAGAGTGGTTGTAATGCAGGGAAGCCATCTTTAGGTTAAGGAAACATTCCTGTTTGGATTTCTCAACAAGTGTGAAACTCAAAGCTTCAGTAAGCGCTGCGTCTTCCATCCTGACAAACACCGATTCGAAGCAGCCAATGTCACTGACAATATTTTCGTAGCCTACGGAATTTCCAATACTGACAACGTATTGGTTCTTAGCATTATCTTGGGTCAAATCCACAAGCTGCAAACACCCCAGAGACCCGTTCATGTCAAAGGTGCTCCCCATGGAGACATTCACCTTGGTGCCACCTATACTGGCCGTGGCAATTTTCCTGCCGTATTTCTCTCCGTTGGCCATTCCCACCGTCCGAAGGAGCAGTAAGTTAAGTCTGTGGATTTCTACTGCAACCTCAGTGTTCTGTTCGTAAGTAGACTGATATGTTCCTTGTTCTCTAAAGCTTCTTTCAAAATCAGTCATTAAAGGCTGAGGACTCAAATCATCCTTTTCCTTAGGGAAGGATTTTTGCAAAAAACCAATCAGCTCCACAATTGTCTCTGGATTTAGGATAATATCCAAATTATTTACCTGTAAGGAAATCACCTGAAGGGTGCTGTCTAAGTTCATGGATGGGCACTCTGAACTCACAAACTGATACTCCAATTTAATAAGGGACTCTTGTTCTTTGGTGAGAATCTTTTCAAGAGAAACACTGGTCACTGATGGGTCACTCGGGATGGGTACCTCCGTTACACTGGCCACACTAGGTCCAGCAACAGGAGACTGCGCCCTGCTGTCCCGGAGGCTTCCTGTTGGAATATCAAAACTCAGGTTCTTATGTGAGGCCATCAAAAGGTCAAAATCAGTGCCATAGGTCTGCATGGTGTCCACCAGGAGCAAGCCGTGGACGGTCAGAGAGACTTCAGCATCGTAAGGCCTTTTCACAAAGTGCGCGTTGGTGCCGAACACCTTGAGCACAGAGATGTAGCGGCCGTTGCTCTCAACGCCAAGCTGCACGCAGTTGACTTTAAACTCAGCCAGGAGCAGCTGCGACTCCACCAGCACCTCGCGGGTGTGCTGCTCCAGCATCACGATACTCTGGGTTAGGTTCATGACTGAGTCCTGCAAGCTGCCCCGAGGCTCCTCCTGGGGGAAGATCTTCTCTTTAATCAGAGTGTCCGAGGTCTTCATGTCTGGGGTGGTAAGGAGGGCGAAGCAGTTCTTCAGAGCAGAGATCTTGTCTTCGTTGATGTGGATTTTTAAGTCTGGTAAGTTGCCTGACAGCACGGCCCCCGGGTATTTGGGATCGGAAGTGTAAATCAGCCTGCGCTCTAACTGGAGGTGGACGTTGAATTTCTCTACCACGTGGGTAGGGCCCACGTCGATATCCTGAACATGCTTCCAGTTGTCCCTCACGCGTCCCACCATGATCTGGAGGTCCATGAACGACAGCGAGTACCTCTCATACATCTTTGTACTCATCAAGTGTGCTTGGAGCTGTTCCTCACTAAATTCAACTCCGGAAAAGGGAGGTGTTTTCTCGCCGCTCCTGGTGCCTGGCTCTGGAGGCGGGGTGTTGGGAGGGGTGGCAAGCGGGGTCTTATACTCATCATCGCTAAACTGATTCTCTTCACAAGCTGACCCGTCCCCACTTTTCCTCCTGGAGTCCTCTGCAGATAGAAAAGAGAACCCTCAGGACACGGTCTGTCATTTGCTTCCTTTCCCCCTCTCTGTAACAATGATGAAAAGTAGTTTCAACCAACCCCACTTTTCCTTAAAAATGGATGAAAACTCTAAGCATAAAATTCTGTACGTGCCATCTATCCAAGGTGACTATATCTATGAATCTGGAAACCAACACACAGGAGTAAACACACGTGACTGCGAGGAGAGCCGGGCCCGCCGGCCCCTGTGGATGTAGCCAGGGCCGTGAGTCACTGTCTCCACCCCCGCTCCCCTCTTTACCTTGTGCGTTCTCAGGGTTCACTGTGTTTCCTGCACTAAAGATGCTCTGAAAGAAGAGCGGACCACTCTGTCTCGTTCACACAACAGCCTGAGAGCCCAGATCCGTGCTGGTGATTCCCTACCCAGGCTGAGCCTTCTCGACAATGAAATCATAGCTCTGGACACTGCACATTTGGTGCAGTCAAGCAGATATTTTCTGCAGCCGTGACCCTTTTATTCAGGTGTAACCCCCTTATAACATTCCCCTGAGCACCAAATTTTCCCCTTCTGCTCATGCCCCATACCCTCTTCTCTTTCAGGTTTTCTCAGTAAAGGTAAGGTTGAGATTAGCTAATAAATTCCCAATTTTATTTACCCCATGAATCCTCTCGTTCTCCCCTCCCACCTCAACCAATACTATTTGGATCTAATTATAGTAATGAAATTACCTTCCAAGTGTCCCTTTTTATATACACCATCTATCAGATTAAAGCTCTATCCCTACAATTAAGTACTAGGAAACAATGTCTATTAAAGTACACAATGTCAAGATACAAAAACAACATTAAAAAACAGTAATTTTCTATACCCCAATAAAGAACTGAAAAATCAGGAAAGCAAATCCATGACAATAACGTCAGAAAAATAAAATACTAAGCAGTCAAACTAAGCAAGGAGGTGAAAGACCTTCAAAAAGAATGTAACAGAATGCTTAAGAAAGAAATTGAAGACACGATGGAAAGAACTCCCATGCTCATGGATCAAAAGAATTAATATTATTATAATGGCTCTGTTACCGAAAGTGATCTACACATTCAGTGCAATCCTATCAAAATCCCTCGACATATTTCAGAATTTAAAAAACCTTCCAAAATTCATAAGGAAATTCAAAAGAACTCGATGTCTACCAACTAATGGATAAATAAATGGATAAGCAAAATGTGGTATATGCACACGCTGAACTATTATTTGGCCAGAAAAAGGAATGAAATCCTGACGCATGCTACAACATGCAGGAACAGTTGGCTAAATAAAAAACCAGAAGCCAGGCACAGTGGCTCACGCCTGTAATCCCAGCACTCGGGAGGTTGAGGCAGGAGGACCATTGACAGTTTAAGACCAGCTGGGCTAAAGTGAGCTCAAGTAACCAGTGAGCTCAAGTTTAGCTGGACTGGATAGTTGAGACCCTGTCTCAAAAAGACAAAAATAAATAAGTAAAGGCCAGGCACGAAAGGCTACGTGTTGTTTCATTCTTTTCACATAAAATGTTGGATTAAGCAAGTAGACAGCAACAGAAGAAAAATCAGTGGCTGTCAGAAACAGGAGGAGGAAAACATGGGGTAAGTGAATGCCAAAGAGTTAAGAGTTTCTTTTTAAGGGATGAGAAGAATGTTCTAGAATTTAAGCAGCAGTGAAAGCTGCACAATTCTTCCAATAAACCAAGTATAACTGAATTGTTTGATTGAAATTGTGAATTATAATCCAGTAGAGCTACAGTTTAAAATGCAACAGATGGCCAGGTGTGGTGGCACACACTGGCAACCCCAGCACTCAGGAGGCTGAGATGGGAGGGCTGCTCTGAGTTCAAGCCCAATCTGAGCTATGCAAGACCTTGTCTAAAAATAAGCCAAATCAAAAGTAACAGATGGAACTATAGCAGTGGAGTCTGTTGGCAACGGCCTCCAACTCAGAAGGAAAACATGGGCACCAAGTGCCCAGAGAAAAAGGCGCGTCCTCAGCCAGAGCACACTGACGGGCAGAACAGGCACTCGGGGAAGCTCTCCATCTCTTTACTGGCTGCAGAAATCGCGTAGTGGCTGAGCACTTGCCTAGTGTGCATGCATAAGGCTGCACACAAATCTGACACACAACAGAACAGAATTCGACATGAGCTGACATAACGTAACGTAACAGGCTTCGGAAACCTCCTGCCAGGCTTTACTCCGAACAGTCTGCCATGAAGTGTCTTCACTACTTCACACCAGCTCTGTACCTTGGGTATTTGTCAACAGTATTCTTCCCAGGTCCACGACAACTAACACAGGATTCTTGAACTTGAAATCATCAGGAAATATCACCTGAGGGGCAGAAATGTCCAGTCGCACGGTCCAGCGCTTACTTTCCTCCTGGGGAAAGGAATGACCGTGGTTACAGGACTGCGGACCACGACGGCTGTGCCGCGCAGCTCTAGCGGTGCTTGGACCTCCTGGAGCCCAGCCAGGGCTGTGGGTGACAGGGTGTGCACCGGGTTAGAGCCTGAAGTTTCAGATGAAAGCGTATTAAAGTAAGTCACAATTGGAGCTATTCCTACACGCAAATGTCTGAGGAGGAGAGAAAAAAATTAGCAAAACACTGATTTAAGGGGTTATTTGTAGTCGGGTAAGCCCATCATTTAGGAAAAACTGCTTCTAATTCACAGGGCCTAATACTTTACAATATTATGGGAACTATGAAATTCAAACAAATATAAAAATCCAAATGCTTTTACTTATTCACTGATATTAATAACATGAACTTTCATGCCAAAATACTGTGCTTTGAAGTTTGAAATGTGTAAACACTAAGTTCAGAATCTGTAAACTCCTTCCTTGCAACTAAACATTAGCCTAAAGGGCCAGGATACAGCTCAGTAGCACAGTGCCTGCTGGGCAAGCACGAGGTCGTGAGTTCAATTTCCAGTGCCAAAACATAAATAAATAAGTAAAATGAAGCATATCTAAATAAAAACTAATTTATATAAGTGTTGTCAGGAAGAATCCTCCACTGTCTACGATAACAAGAAGATATCACCACAAATTGTGTCAACATACATACAAACCACAGGACTCACTCTCCACCCCGCCCCGCAAACCTCCAGCACCCCACTCTGAACACTGGGTCCTGCCCCTATCCCACTGCCCCGTCTACTGCTGGATCTCAGCACTGCACCCCTTCTCGAGGATGCTTCCTGCTCTCCCTGTCCGTGGTGTCTTCACATCCGCTGGTCACCTGCATCACAAAGCAACCATCATGCTCAGGAGTAGAAGGTGGGCCTTAGGCTCTCTGTTTATATTCTGGCAAGAGGTAAGCAATGAGGAGAAGATTTTAAGGGAAACAGTCACAGAATATCAAGTCTAGAAAACATAAATTAAACCTTGGGCCTGCTGCAACCCCAGCACTCAGCAGGCTGAGGCAAGAGGATCCTTGCAAGTTTGAGACCAGCTAGGCTACAAAGTGAGCTCGGGACCAGCCTGAACTGTATAATGAGACCCTGTCTTGAAAAGAGCCCTCCTCCCCCAAAAAAACCACATAGCGAAAAAGAAAAGAAGGAAAAAAGAAAGAAAACCTTGACTGTGAAAGACATGACATTTTCATTTTATGGTAGCTGCGGAAGATTTCGTATTTTCTGGTCACTGAATCAGTGTAATTGGGAAAGCAAGCCCAGTGAGGGTAGGTAACCGTCCCGTCAGGAAACAGTGCTTACTTCTGCCACCCCTACAAGTGTTTCGTGCAACCACTTACAATGAAATCGCCCACTAGTAAGCGATCGAGTGTCTGCCGGATTTCTGCTTTGGTCTGCATCTTCAGCTTGTTATACTGTCTTCGGGCAGCCTTGGCCACTCTCAGTTCAAGTTCAGACTGATAGCCAAACCCTGCAAGATTGGAATACACACAACAGTCGGATTTCCAATGACTGGGTAGATAAAATGCTGCCGTGAGTCTATGCTAATTAGGAATCTCCACCAAAGCTAACAAGCAATCAGTAACAGCAGCTCCCTGCTCAACCTGGTGTAACACAGGAACGGGGCACAGGTGTGGTGGATGGGCATGCAGAGAAAAGAAGCACACAAGGGAAGGTCCCTAAGTCACGATTTCTAAAGATTTCCAAACTACTACATTTCAAAACCTTCATAAAACAGAAGACTACATTGACAGACAAAGTGCAATTCAGAAGGAAATGCCTTCTGTAGTCTATCAGTAACAGAGTGAAGAAGCCACAATACTCATGGCTACCAATTACGTGAAAAGTCTCCAAAACTGGGCAAAAAACTAGAAGGGCTCCATTGTTACAGAAAAATGAAACAATCAGTTACAAAAATCCCTGGCAATTTCACCTTTACCTTGGAGGTTGGAAAAAAAAAAAAAAATCCCTGGCAACGGAAGTGCTTTGACTGTATCTACTATCTCAAATCTTTCCTGAGAACACAGGGAAGCATAAATAAATCAATGATATTTAGACCTTTGCACTGTAAGATGCTTTACCAAACAAGTGAAGACCTGATCCTGGCATCTGGAAGGACATCCCTGAACACCCCTCCCAGTTCACTTAACACCCCAGTGTAGCCAAGGAAATACCAACCTAATGGAATGAGAAGTATGAGAAAAAAACAAAACATGCCAAAGGGAAGGAAACAAACAGAAAATATGGACAGACACTGATTCTTCCAGAAAAGGAGGCTGTCCAGGGTCATGTGCCCTGACTCAGTGACTGAAGACCACCCTATCCTCGCTGCACAGGCCTCTGCTGCCTACCACTGTCTGGTCCCTGGAATAATAACCTTGTCCAGAGCACCAGAAAGGACAAGAAAGATGTTCTTAGTAAGGAACATAAGATCAAACAAACAAAAAAAGTTAACCTGAGGTATGAACCTTTCCCTTGTAGAAAAAGTCTGCTACTTTTTTAATAGCCTGGGGATTATAGATGATGTTCAAGGGTCTTGTGCTGACATTGAGCCGTCTTTCACAATGACTGTGTGCTGGATTTCTCTCATACAGCATCTCAAAAACTGGGTCTTCTGGGTCTGCAGCTATGGAAGCAAGAAGGAAGAGAGAAAGAAAATGGAGCACAGCAAAAACAATCACTTTATTCTTAGTAAGCCTATGAAGAATTCTGCCGGGGGAGAAAGACATTCTCTAAATTATTTTCCAGCCAGCCCACAGTGATGCTCACCGTAGGAGCCTTGTAAGTTTAACAGGAATCATGAAGTCTGGGCAGCATCCGGTCTAACCAAAGTCCCAGGGGCCTTGCAACATGGCCCCAGGTGCACGCAAGTTAAGGCCCCACACAAATCCACATGGCAAACTATGTGCTCAGAACAGAAAACACCTCTCAGGGACAGGGATTTAGCATCATAAGCACTGGACTGGCAAACACAAGGTCGTAAGTTTGATCCCCAGTACCAAAAAATAAAATAAATGAAAACACCTCTCTCTCCTAATTCTAATCAAAGACTAGCAATCTGGAACAATGACATATTTAAGGGTGAGTTTTAAGAATGTATAAAAAATTACCAGGGTATTGGTCACTTCTGTCTGTTGATGTGGTTTGGAGACCAAAAGACTGTGAGACTCTGCCGACTTCTTTTTGCTATTAAACACACATGGAAAGACACATCAGTGTCATCAGACCACAGTTCACCAGCATCCTAGCTATGTTAGCTGTACTGCTGCGGCAGGCGCGGGTCAGGAACACCAGAGGAGGAAGCACAGCCCCTTCCTCCCACATCAAAGCACCAGGCACACTCACACGTTTTACCCTCCAGCAACGCTCTTCCTTAGCACCCTGAGCGGAAATCCACTTCGCCCTGGCTTGCTGAGTGCCTGCAGGCTTGTTCAGCTTTTCCCAACCCCACTGAAACCCCGTCTTGTCCTCTGTGCTGACAGCACGCCACCTGGTACTCACTTCATTTAACGAGGATTGCTAAATGAGTATTAAGTATGTTCCACTCCTCAAACTTGACATTTTTTGCCTTCTCTTCCCCTCCACTGCCATCCCCCTATCACCCAAAAGTTATGGGCAGGGTAAATGGTTATATATCCAAATATCTGGAACATATCATGGCCAGGTAGTAAGATCAAATACCTTACCACTAATAAACCTATCAGATATAGGAATTACACAAAGAGAGGGGTTGAGATGATTCTCTTTTGGATCCTAGAGTGATGGGATTTCTTACCAATGATAATCGGTCAGAATAAATGAAAATGACCGTCAGACATGAAGGAAATTCAAACACTGACCTTGAAATGTAGAAAATAGTGGTGCTTATGGCATTCTCCTCCAAAACACAGCAAACTATTCCAGGGTAGCCACACCACAAGAGGGGAAGAAAGCATGTGAACCTCACCAACAGCCTCTCTAAAAATCCAACAGCTTAACTAGCCACCCTATCTGTCTTGAGATGTTCAAATATCAGAAAGAATCACATTCATGTCACTTACCATTTGTCTAAAGCAGACCACAATTACCAACATCCTAGCTACATCGCCGTGCCACCGCAGTACATACCGGATTAGGAAAGACCAGAAGGGGAAACATAGTCCCTTCCGTAGCTAGGTCTCGAAGAAACAGTCCGCCCAACCGGACTAAAAGCAAGGAGGAATTTCTTCGAGGAAGAGATTCTGCTAGTAGTTTTACATCTACAAAACAGAAATGTAAAAATTGACATTATGACATTAAAACCTACTTCTAAATATATTATAGTATTTTATAGAGCATTTTAGATGCTATAAACAATTTTTCCATGAAACTAAACCCAAAATAAACTCCCTGACTATGTATCTACTTAAACAAAAAAAGGACTTTTAGAAGTTTCCCAGGAAGATTAATTTTAAACAGAGCCTTTCATTTAACTTCAAAGAGTCTGCTCATTCAACTAAGGCATCTCATACTGAGGCATCTCATAAACTGCTATTTCAAGAACTGAAAAACTGCCAGGCATGGTGGCACACATCTGAAATTCCAGCACACAGGAGGCTGAAGCAAGAGCACTGTACGTTTAGGACAGCCTGGGCTACAAAGTGAGTTTAAGATCAACCTAAACACCATAGCAAAACCTTGCTCAAAAAGACACAAAAATATAATAACTGAAAAATTATTGGGAAATCTCCAAACCACTGAGTATTTATCTATAAATCCTTAATTCAAAGTCCCAAAAACCGCTTAGATACATGTGATCCCCATTATTCAGACTTGGTTTGTGTGCCTTCACCTGCTCACTAAGATACATTTGTAACCCCAAAGTCAACACTTGTGTGACAAAAAACAAAAAACAAAAAAAAACACTTGTGTGGCACTTTCTTGATTACTTAGGCAAAGTCACAAAAGATGTGGGTCAGGGGTTAGGGATTTAGCTCAGTGGCTGAAGCACTTGCTTGTAAGCATAAGGTTATGAGTTCAATCCCAGTACCAAAAAAAAGCAAAGCAAAGCAAAGTGTGAGTCGTCCGCCGAGCGTGGCCCTGCCCGTTCCCTCGGGCTGGCCGAGTCCTGGTGGCGGCACCCACACGGCAAAGGCCTCCTCGTCCTGCTCTGTCTGCAGCTCTGCTCTTTGCCTTTTCGGTGTGCTTTCTGTTCATGATCTTTCAATTTAAAATGGTCAAGTGGGCTGGGGATGCAGCTCAGGGCTACAGCTCTTGTACAGCCTGCAAGTAAATAAATTAAACAGCCAAGTAGAGTGTGAAAGTGCTGCACACTGTTCCTGCATGTGAGAAGGCTCTTACACACTTTACACCAGAAATATTACATTAGGGAAGCTCTGTGTGGGTACAGATTATAGTGCCGCAGGCTATTAACGTGAATTAACAACACAAACATACATTCACACATAAACTTCATTTTATAAGGGGGACTGAACATAGGTTCTTGTGCATACTAAATAAGTACCCTACCACTCAGCTACATTTGCAACCCTTTTTTTAAAAGTTTGAGATACAGTCCCATTAAGCTGCCCGGAACTTGAAATGCTCCTGCCTCAGCCTCCTGAGTAGATGGGGCTAAAGGCATGTGCCATTACCCTAAGCTTAAAGGTATCTTTAAACACAAACTCATGGAAAAGAAAAGGCTAGAGCTATAGATTAAGAAATAACCAACTGAGAAATAACAGGCTCAGAGGCTCACAAGACTCTAACTCTGAACTTCCCTGAGGAGCAGCGGTTCAGTCCATGTTTGTGGTGACTTGCTAGATTATAAAATACACAAATAATGCAAATCACCCATGCCCCAGCACCAAGGATACAACAGTCGCCCCTGGCTCTCCTGGGCCAGTACCTGAAAACTCGAGCTGCATGAATGCCCTTTCAGTCATCTGAGGAGTCCCTTGCTCCTTGTGCAGCAGAGTCACTGTGCCACGCTGCAGCTGCACGTTCAGCTTGGCAAACACGTGGTCTCGCTTTGTGTACGTGTTCATGCACGAGGCGTCTGCAGTGGGGTCAAAAAACTCCTCGGTGCCTACATGACAAGGAAGAACAAGCTTGAAGAAAACTCATGTAAGGATTTTTTTTAAAAAAGGCATAACCAGGACACTGATCGCAGCTGTGACAACTCCACTTGATCATTTTACCCTTTTTTCTTTTACTGGTACCAGGGATCGAACTCATGACCACCTGCTTGCAAGGCAAGCGCTTATGCCGCAGAGCTAAATTTCCAGCCCCTATTTTACCCTTTTTTAAGGAAGGAACTCAAAGACACAGATGACCACTCAATCTGCTAATGTAAAACAACCTTACTGTTTCAGAAAGGCTCTCATCAGCGGTCAAAGCAGGCAGCACAGGACCCACAATGCAGTGCAGTGTGAGGCAGCACTGCCCGGCACGGTGAAGCGGCCTGACTGGACTAGACAGGACAACAGCCAGCAACCCCATGGCCACTGAGCACTACGACTCGGGTGGCTAGGCAATTTACTTCTACTTCATTATAATTAACCTGAGTAGCCTTTTGCAGCCATGGCTCTTGGTCCCAGAGTGCCTCTGGACTGGTATTCAAGCTTTGGAGTTTTTCTAACTTAAATATCTGAATATGCTTAGTTTAATTCTCTAAATATAGCTGCCACTAGAATCTACTCAGCAGCGTACCACTGTTCATACGCAGTCATGGACTTGCACATGGAGCTTCTCCCCAAACACTGCTTCTGTCTCTGCTCAACACACAATCACCGTTCTCCAACTGACTGACCACAGGGCCAGGTGTGGTGGCGCATACCTGTAATCCCAGCCGTTGGGCAGCTGAGGAGGAGGGTTGCCGTGAGTTCAAAACCAGCCTGGGCTACATAGTGAGTTCAAGGCCAGTGTGGACTACACAGTGAGACCTTGTCTCAAAAAAACCCAAAACAATAAATAAAAATAAAAGGACCACGGGCCACGGCACAAACAACAGCCCAAGTTTTATGAACCAACCAAGTGTCTCCCTTTGCCGTGGCAGAGGGGCACGTGCAGGTTGCTGCCCAGCATACCCAGGATCTCCTCAGGGGTCCACTGCTCCTGCTGCTCTGCCGAAAGTCCCTCCACGGCTCTGCCCTCAGGACTCTGCTGTCCGTACCAGCCACCCCAGCCGGGGAACCAGGACTGAAGGTACTGCAGCATCCCGCTGCCTCCACTGCCTTCCGGATCTCCGGGGGACTCTCCCAGAGAATCGAACTGAGGTTCCCGAAGACTCTGCAATCACATGGGAGCACAAGTGGGCACCCAGGGGCAGCAGCTCAATAGCACTGCAACATTGAGTGCCATCAGTCCCAGACCAAAGTGAAAGCGCCCAGAGTGCACTGTGCCTTAACAAACCTTCTCTAGACAATTTCTCACCTCTGCAAGCTCCTCCTGCTTATAAAAGCGATCATGAACCAGTTCACGCAGAATCTTCAGTTCCTCAAAACTCTGCTCATCCTCAATCCGACACATTTCGTCCTGTTTGGGTGAAAGCAAAACAAACAAAAGCAGACCCTGGAGCTCCGGAAGGACTGGAGACCCTCACAGATGAGAACCAGTACCACTGGGGAGCCAACCGGCCCCCACACTCCCAGTGAGGATCAAGAAACAGGGTACAGCTGGCTCCACAGCTGCTGTTTCTGGTTTAAACATTTTCCCTATAATCCATCAGATTTCACTTGGTCCCAAAAACACCAGCAAGTTTCATAGTTTCTGCAACTAATGGTGAGTAGAAAGGACACGAAGAGCAGTCCCCGATCCTCAGCGGGCCTCCACCGTGCCTGTGCTGCTGCCGTGCTGCTGCCGTGCCCTGCCCGGTGCCGAGCACACTGCCAAGCTCCACACGCGTTACCTCAGGTGACCAAAGGGCGTCACCCTCTTCCCACCCTCAAGTGAGGAGGCGGAGGCCCACGTTCACACGGCACGTGTGCGGGCCCCAGCGCCCTCACGCTGCACTGGCACAGACGCCCAGGCTGGCTTTGAACTCCACAGGCTCATCTCCACTTGATTCGTGCCAGACAGGGAAAGGCAATGCGAGCCAGCAACACGCTGAGTTCGAAAACCAAGCGGAGGGCGAGACACAGTTCAGGGCTGGCACATTCGCCCAGCACACACGAGACCCTTGATTAGATCCCCAGGGCCTCCAAAAAAGCAAGCAGGTTAACTACCGGTATCCTGAACTATTTCTTATGCCTTAACATTAGGAAAAAGGAGATTATATTTATGTGCCTGCCTTAGGGGCAACTTACATGTTTTCCTCTCCCTCCAAGTTTGCCTGTGCCTTTCAGAAAACCAGGCAAAGCAAAATGTCTGATTTATCCCATCTTTTTCGTAAGGTTCCACCATCACCCTGTCAGACACTGATGAAGAAGGCATTGACCCAGTGGTCTCACCACACCTGATGTACACAAAAGCAAAACGACCCAAGGGACACAGCGCTGCCAATGCCTGCTCCGAGGCGACAGTGAGGCAGGCACACCAGAGGAGCAGGGGTCGCCAGGCAGCACCCTGCGGCGGTCATGGGGCCTCTGGCCCACAGGTACTGCCAGGCGAGCTGGCCTTCTCCACCTACAGCAGCCCTCGGCCTGGCCTGGCCTGGCCGCCACCGCCACTACCAAGGAGGACAAGTTAAAAGCAGGCCAAGTGAGGCCAACCAGGACTATGGAAGACACAGGCAAAGGCCACAGGGGTCAGTTACAGACTCAGGGGAATCTGGGACTGGGACCGGCTTTGAAGTGACACCGGTGACTTGCACAGAGAAATGCAGGCAGGATTATGGGCACAGAGCTCTGGCAAGACCGTGGCCATCTCCTCGCCCTCCTACACCATGCCTGGCTCCCTTCATGCAGGAGACGGAGGATGCTTCTGGGCAGCGCGAGACTAGGGCCTCCAAGCACTTCTCGCGCCCTTTGCCTTCACAGACCCCATTTGCTCCCCCAATCCTTCTCTGACTGAAAAGAAGAAAGCCAAAGCCACAGTCCACTCACCTTGTCGTCTGCAGACAGTAAGCCTCCTTTCAGTTTGCTGAAGTATTTGTCAGTGTAAAACACAGCATCGTGGGCTCGGTGCAACAGGAAGTCCCAGGTGCAGCGCTTCCGCTGCTCTCTGATCTCATACAAGTTGGCATTCAGAGCAAAATACCACCACTCCCGGCAGCTGCAACAGCCCGTAAGGATGTGTCACTTCTCGCGATAAAGCGACCACGATGCTATCAGCCCAGGCAACCCCGTAACACCGCTTCTTCTCCTGGACACTTTCTCTCTAACAGCCATCAATGTAGGTCCAGGGCATTTGAATCGAAAGCTACAAGCAGATCTGCTACTGAAGAACACCAACAACAGATCCCTGACTTACGTACCCATAATCACAGTGTCCCACTGACTGGCACTGCCACAATGTTAGTGCCTCCACTGAGGGAAAGCCAAGGTGCCAGCAAGGCAAACACCACCTTTCAATAATCACCAAGGGCTTTTAACTGAAGCTTAGAGGTACAGGGCTGGCCTCGCATGTCCGAGGCCATGGGTTCCAGCCAGTGGGAAAACAATGTTTAAATTGAATTTGTAGGGAAATACATGGAAATGCCTAGGATCTTTAAAAAGCTTTAATGCATCAGACTGGTCAAGTTTATCACTGTAACACGAAAGAGGATTTGTGTTTGTTACGGAAGTTAGAAAGTGCAAGATAAACATTAACCTAACAGCAAGGGAGAAGACATTAAGAAGCAGGATCAGGCCAGTAACGCCTGTGCCCAGAGGATCACCACAAGTTCACGGCAGGCCTGGGTTACACAGTGAGCTCAAGGCTATCCAGAGCCAGACCCTGTCTCAAAAGTCTAAAACATAAAAGCAGGATGAGGGATGGGCCTGCAGCTCAGTGGTCTAACATGCACAAGGCACTGTAATAGAAGAAAAAGGGAAAAGAAGGTTCGAAGAATATCACAGAGCATCCACTGCACACCAGATCTCACCGAATCAATGTGAGTTTCTGCCAAACTAGACCTAGAGGGCCTGATGAATTTCACCACACTTCATCTAAAAGTAAACTTTAATTGGATAAATATACAATAAGAATATTAATAATGATAATAGGAACGGTATCTGTAGGACCAGAAAAATCAACTATACTTTTACCCCAACCCTGTGTGAGGGACACGGAGGCATTATTCCCAGTGCATTTTCCAAAGAGAAGAACACGTCATGAAATGTGCTGTCCAGACGCCCCAGTGAGCCCTTACTTCTTAGACACCGCCACTTTGGGTTTCCACTTCCGGAACTTCACCTGTCTCTCCTTCCGCTCCAGCTCCTTGAGGAATTCCATGATCTGCCTATATTGCAGCTTTTATTAGAGATTAAGACATACTCAGTTAGAACGATTTGGTTCTTTTATTCAGTTAAGACCTGCACCCAAAAAGAACAATTCATATCGGTCAATCCTGACCTAAATCCAGTGCACTGAGCAGCACGTTTCTTTAGTCACTGAGAATTAATATTTATATTTATTGATTTTTTTTTTCTTGTCTTTTTGAGACAGGGTTTCCCTATGCAGTTTAGGCATAGTTGAACCTGAGATGAAGCCAATCTGATTGTAACAGAAAGTGGGGTTTGTTTGGGACCCGGCTTTGACCTGGAGGAACCAGGCCCATGGGTGAGTGCCTGCCCTCCTGCGGACGGCTGCGGCCTGGAGCCGCCATGAACACGTTCCCTCCCCAGCCACTGCCTGGCCGGCCAGTACCTGAGACAGCGTCAAGGGAATGGTCTCCAGCTGAATATCACACTCGATGCGGGGGCTGTGCCGGGACCGCAGGGGCTCCTTGGAGCAGTTTCTCTTCAGGAGTGCAGACGTGCACACGGGCTCCAGGATGTAGTGGTGACTGCGACTCTCCATGCTCTTTGCCATGGCCTCCTGCACGTTACAAGAAGACCTGCTCTTATCAGACCGCCTTCCTCCTGCTCACTGCCCATTGATCAGACTGCGGTTTTATGACAGTCAAGCTAAGCTACAGGCTGAGTCCTAAGAGCAAATGTTACCTAACCTACAGGGTGATATCAGAACCCAAAAACAGCATCAAATTGCATCCTAAAGCTCACTACTATTTTAAAACATTCTTTATATTTCTCCACAGGTTATACATTCACATGGTTTAAAATTTAAAAGGAGCCAGGTATGCTGGCTCACCCCTGTAATCCCAGCACTCAGGAGGATGGGGCAGGAGCATCATTGTGAGTTTGAGGCCAGCCTGGGCTACAAAAGTGAGCTCAAGCCCAGCCTGAACTGCATAAAGAGACTCTGTCTCAAAAAGACAAAAATAAAATAAAATTTAAAAGGATGCACTCACTTCAACAACATGTATTCTAAAATTTAAAAGGCAAAAAAGGATGAAACACCTCTTTCCTACCCTGACCCCAGCCACTCTTTTGCCCCCCTCCCCCCACAGCTTCAGCTCCCCCCCGGTCTCTCTATGCGCCTGCACCCAGCTGTTTCCTTTCATAAACGCTATAAAACCTGCTTGAAACCTTAATACTGTATCTTAGAGACTTTTATGTATTTATTCATCATAAAGATTTTCCTTTATTCTAAATAGCTGCGTAATCCTCCAGTATAAGGAAAAGGTATTTATTTTTAAAAGAATTAGCAAAACCAAAACCACTCTCTGCACAACAAGCTGCAAGCCAAAGATAACCTTGGGTCAAGGAAAAGTGAGTCATTTTCCCCTGTTTCACTTAAACCACCTACTATTTCTTTATAAAAAGATCAAACTGAACTATTTTTTATGCTTTACAAACAGTAACATGTTATATCTGATGACTCATAAGTTTTTAAGTATCTCTTAGAGGAATGCTACCAGAGGTGACATTCCCACAAACAACACAGTAAGAGAGCTCCTGTTTAAGAATTAAGCCTGGGCCAGGCATGGTGGTGCATGCCTGCAAACCAGGCACTCAGGAGGCTGAGGCAGGAGTACCGCCATGAGTTCAAGGCCAGCCTAGGCTATATAGTGAGTTCAAGGCTAGGCATGGTAGCATATACCTCTAATCCCAGTAACTCAGGAAGATCAAAGTTCAAGGCCAATCTTAGCAACTTAGTAAGACACCATCTCAAAATGAAAAGTTAAAAAAAGGCTAGGCTTAATCTCATGCAAAACATGGGTTCAATCTCCAATACCACCAAAAATAATAATAACAATAATAATCAGATCTGTTGGCTCTGGTCATTTAAAATATGGATGCCCAGTACATGACAACAAAGAGAATACAAAACTACAGTACGTCACAGGTAAATAGCACAATACTACACAGGAGCAAACGGTGATGCATAGCATACCAATGTATCTTAACAACACAACCTTAAGGGTGGAAATTAAAGGGTCATTAAACCACCCTTAAAGGGTAGCTTACAGTGAGGCACTTGCCTAGCACCCATTAGCCCACTGGTTCAACCCTGAGTACTGAGAAAGAAAGACAGACAGAGCCAAGACAAACCCATCTGGTTCAGGGTAAGAGGTACCTTGCCAATGTACCTTGCCAGTGATGCCTGGGGAAGAGAGGGGCAGGAATGGAAGTCAGCTGCAGAAAGCAACCTGCGAGGCGGCAACCCTAAACACTGTCCCTCCGTGCTGCCTTGCAGTAGAGCCCTCTACAGAGCCGTACCTGTAACTCCACCTGCGGCAAATCCCCCAGCATGGTGCAATCGACGTCCCAGTAGATGCTAAACTCTGCCACATCTAATCGTTTTTTCCGCATCAGTTTCTGTACCTAATGGAAGAAAGATGGGGAAAAATAGGATGACTGTCATTACTCACAAATGTATGAGTGCAATCAGCAAACCATGAGAAAAACATCACGCACTTAGCAAGGATATAAAACTGAGCCAAAACATGACTTTGCCCCTTTCAGAGACTAAATCTAATAGCTGGACACACTCCAAATAATTTTAATGATGCAGAAGAAACAGAGGAAGCATATACAAGATATATGAGCACACAAAAAAGAAAATGCCACTACGCAGATAAGTGTCAAAATATGCACACCCTTCACACAGACAGTTGTGTAGAAGGAAGGAACTGGGCTGATGGGGATAGAACACACCCACGTAGCTGGAGCCCTGGCGGCCCTGGGGACAGCACAGGCACAGGGGTATGAGTACACAGCTGGACTGGGGATGAGCCAGTATGGCACTGAGAGAAGTATCTCGTCATCTTCCTGGGGGTCCCGATCGGATAGTGCCGTCTCCCCCAGGAGGAGTCACGCCCGCCCGCCAGCCGTGAAGGTAACCTTATGGTGAAAACAGGACCTTACAGACGGAATCAGGTTAAAATGAGGTCATGCTGGACAAGCGCAGGCCCCAATCTAACCAGTGCGGAAGGCAGAGGCAGAGGCGAGTGGTGCACTGCAGGCCAAGGAATGCCAAGCACTTCCAGCAGCCAGAGCCTCTAAGGCAAGCAAGGGACAGATTCTCCCTCACAGCCTGCAGAAGGAACAAGTCCATTTGATTGCAGATTTCTGGTCTCCAGAACTCAAGAGTAAATTTCTCTGGTTTTAAGCCTTCCGGTCCACAGCAGTGCGTTATGGCAGTGTGTTATGGCAGCCCATGAAAACAAATACACCAGGAAAGGAAGTATACACCACGCTAAGGATTCTGGACTTCACACTTTAGACATCAAGAAGACTGTTGGCGTTTGGTTCAGTGGCTGTTTCCGGCACCAAGGATGAAACCCAGCAAGCACTAAGCTAAGTTGCCCAGGCTGGCTCCCAACATATAGTCCTCCTGCCTCAGCCTCCCGTGCAGCTGGTATTACAGGCATCCCCGTCATGCCCAGCCTGCCCAAGGTGCTGCTGTAAGAAGCACCAAGACGAGCACGGTTTAGATGCAGAACTGTGATGGCGGAGGCAGACCTTCCCTTCGTGTCCCAGAAAACAAAGAAAGAAAATGAGTCATAAGCCGGGCGTGGTGGCTCACGCCTGTAATCCCAGCATTCAGGAGGCTGAAGCAAGAGGATCGTTACAAAGTGAGCTCAAGGCCAGCGTGAACTGCATAGCAAGACCCTGTCTCAAACAGACCAAAAAAAAAACCTGCAGAGGGTCACAGGACAGGGTATTCCATCAGCCCAAGCTAGAGCTGACAGACCCCAAAGGACAAGAGGATGGAGAGGAAGGCACAGATGTGACTGCTAGAAGAAAAACGAGCAGAACACTGTGACCCCATGGACATGGAAGGTAAAGAATGCCGAGGGAAGGCTGAGCGCGAGGCTTCCGGACACTGGTACGGGGTGAAAGCGCGTGCTATGGAGCAGGCGTACCCAACTCTTCTGGTAAAGGACAGACAGGAAATGACCGCGGCTTTGCAGCCACGCGGGCTTTACTGCGGCTGCTCAGCTTTGCCACCGCGGCACAAACACAGTCATGACCAGCGAGGCAGGGGCACACACCTACCATCCCAGCACTAGACAGGCTGAGGCAGAAGCACCTCAAGGCTGGCAGAGTCGGGCATGGCGGCACTGAGGCAGGGGTTTCCTGCAAGTGTGCGGCCAGCCTGAGCTACATGTGACTTCAAGGTCGACCTGGACTACATAGTGAGACCCTGTGTTAAAAAGCAGCAAAATAACAACAAAACAGGCCTGATGACGCTACAACCCAATAAACCTTAGTGTACAAAACGGGGTGCGGATTTGCCGACAGGCCACCCTGTGCAGCCCCCGCCCCGAGCAGGTCTGCCCGGCTCCACCTCACCTCTGCCCCTTGGCACCCTCAGCTGTAACACGAGGACAACACTGGCGGAGAAAACTCCAGAGAATTAAAGGAGTCAAGTCATGGAAAGCGCTAACAGCAGCGCCTAGCACATAAAAGGGCTCAAAAACTACTAGCTCTTGTTTGTTTTGTTAAATAAAATTTACATGAAGTCACTTTTCTGGGCTAGGGCGATGCATTGGCCCCTAAAGGACCAGACTACAAATCAGGATGGAGTCATTACGCTGAGTTCACCTGGCTCAAAGCAGAGGTTTATGTGACCTTCCCAAAACCAGGAGAAATAAGCAACAGCAGTCAGATTTCCCAAACAGACCTGCCAACTGGGACGACCAGGAAATTTTCCCGTCATCCTTCCTTAGCTTTTCGTCCTTACAAGATGCAACCTGAAGAAATTTAACACTAATCCATCAGTTATTTTTCCATTGTTTTGTCCCTCACTTAAAAATAAAGTAACTTTGAAAGGACCAATCACTTTTTGCTTTTTGCTGCTGCATTCTTCAGCCCTCTGTCTATAAAAATGCCAGCCTCTTCTGCCTAGCCCATCAAAGTACTTACTCTGTTGTATAGAATTGTGTTGCTTAATTCTAGAAACTAAAGCCAATTAAGAGCTTCAACTTGTTCCAATTTTGTTCTCTGACGGATCTAATATTCAGTAACACGTTATGGAGTAAAGGAAAAAGGCTGGTGTAGGGGACTGGCAACTGGTGGTCAACTTAAACCCCAACCAACTGACTCGGCGTGGTGCTGAGGTGGACGGCCCGCCGGAGGACTGCTGCCAGCACAGAAAGCAGACTGGAGAGGAAGAGCGGTGTTGTGGGTCCTCCTAAGAGCTGCTGTTTGGAGGAGCTGGTTCTCCTGGTCCTTACTTTGAGCATCACTCCCTGGCTCCAGAGGAGAAGCTGTGTGCTGTTTAACCTCCAGAAGGTCATCATGCTGGCTTCCTCATATGAGCTCAGCTGTTCTCACTGTCAGAGGAGCTCGGCACCTCAGTGTCACTGAGGATGGCCGCAGAACTTATCAGGGGAGCCCTGGTCCTCATTTTTGAGCATCGCTTCCTAGCTCCAGCACAGACCTCGGCCTGCTGGCATGGATCCTTCACCTCACTGGCACAGACTTTCTAGCTCTCATCACTGACCTTTGGGCTTTCTCAGCACAGATCCGTGAAACAGCCTTGAGCCACTGTCATGGGCTCTGGGCTTTCAGCTGAGCTCATCCAGGTTTTGCCGTGGGATCCAGGCCCTTGGCTGGATTTTCTAGGTCTTTGGCATTGTGGACAGATCTCCTGCACTTTCTTTGTATTTGACTCCTTTGGTGAACATTATAAATAATACTATAAATTATGTGTCCTGTGTGTAATTTTTCTCCTAGCAACCCCTGAAGACAACAGTTGGCTTCAGGGCGGCGAAATAGGCAGATGGGCTATAACAAGACCCTTGAAGAACCATGAAATCTGATGAGCTTCCAGGCTGCTGGACACTGGAGGACGATACACCCTCTGCAGCTGGGAACTCATCTGTACCCTTTATAATGTCCTTTATCATACCCTGGTCAAGTGTTTCCTTGACTTGTGTGAAACATCAAGCAAATTATCCAACCTAACGATGGGCCATACAAGCTGTAATTGATGCCTGGATAATTCGAAGCATGGGTCACAACCGGGGACTTCCAAATGGCATCTGAAGTGGTGACACCTGCGAGCCTGTCTTTAACCGACAGAGCCTGCAGGAGGTCTGGCTGGAGTCACGCTGCAGTCAACTGCAGGACCCCCGGGTGGTACTGGGTGTGCGAGGGGAAACTACGGAACACCTGGTATCAAAAGTGATGTGTCAAGAATATAAAGAAACAGAATGCTTTATCCAACAAACCCAAAGCACCACTGAGGCATCCCACAATTACTTTTAAAAAAAACGCACAAATGTGCATGCCAGAGAGAGGCAGAAAATGGAGCTGAAGACACAGAAAGCATCAGCAAGCATTCCCAGGTAGCGGCTGAAACCAAAACCACGAGCTTCCATGGAGGCAAACGCCAACCCCCCACCCCCCACCCTTCCCCACTCCCCACCCCCTACCCCACCCCCCGCATCTCGGTTTCCTGGTGTATAAAATGGAGATGCTGTGACCAAAGGCGGGGAAACATTAACTATTTCCCTGTCTCAGGGAGTTCAGTTCACCTACAGACAGACCAAAGATCTGCACACCTCCGGGGAGCAGAGGAGGAAGGAGCACAATCCCCTCCAACACTAAGGGAGAAAGCTCAGAGCTGCGGTCCTCAGAACATGGCTTCCTGCTGGACTGCGGTCACGTTCCATACTCACGGGCTCATTCAGAGCATTCTGCATGGACACATTCTTAATACAGACGCCGAACGCAAAAGGATGAGAAGGATTGGTGACGCCATCTTCAAAGCGTAAATGGACATCTTGAATTTTTAACTGTGAACAGGCAAAGAAAGAAAAATCATTTTAGCTAACTTCTGCAGATAAAAAACTGCAGGTAGGGGTCAAACCTTTCCACTGAAGTAAACCATGACAAGCATTTTACACAAATGTAACACAGATATCCAGTATCCGGCAACGTGCTAAGTGTTAGAATCGCAAACTGCATGTGACTTTCTTTTTTCAGTACAAAGGAGTGGAACCCAGAACGTAATGCAGGCTAGGCCAGCACTCCGCAACATACACCCAACCTTTCATCATCTCACCAAGTCAGTCAGGCTGCAATCTTCCTGGCTCATTCTCCTGAGTACCTAGGATCACAGGCATGTGTCACCACACCTCGCAGGAATCACACTTCTTTGTCAATAGTGTTACTTCAAGAAGAAAGGTAAACTACTCTCATTAACTTATGTTAGAAGATAAGTCAGGGGTTGGGGATTTAGCTCAGGGGCATAAGCGCCTGCCTGGCAAAGTGTGTGATTGTGAGTTCAATACCGGTACTGATAAAAAGAAAAAAAAAAAGAAGATAAGTCAAAAGAACGTTTAGCTGGGCATGGTGGCATGCTGGGAGGCTGAGACAGAAGTATACCAATTCTGAACCCGACCAGGGAAACTTAGCGACTTAATGAGACCCAGTCTCAAAATTTTTGAAGTGAGCTGGGGAAGCTGCTCAGAGTGCAGTGGGAGGCCCGGGTTGGATCCAGGGGTGCTGCATGCATTTATTTCTCCTTGCCCTGTAGGGGCTACAGAGAGGAATTCCGCGTCAATGAGCTAAAAAACAATAGCAGAAAGTAAAAAGACAATAAAATGGGAGAAACGCCTTCCGAATCACATGTCTGACAAGGGACTAGCTTCCAGAATACAGAACGAACACTCTGAACTCAACAATAAAATGATTAACCAAAAAAAAAAAAGAATGTTTAAAAAATACATTAAATGACAAACTGATTTTTTAAGTAAGCAAAAGATCTCAACAGATATTTCTATGACCCCCTCCTCCCCTGAAAAAAAGGCACACAGGGCTGGCTGTAGAGCTCGGTGGCGAGCGGTGCCCAGCATGCATGCTGCCTGGGCTCCAGCGCCAACACATGAGCAAACACGTATGAAAACACACACACAAACAGATACTCAACATCTGTCAGCCCTCATGGGAATGCAAATCAAAACCCCAGGAGATCCCTTCATACCTAGTAGGGAGGGACATAACCAAAAGACAGACAATAAAAGTGATCAGGAGGTGAAAGTCAAAACGCAGACACACCTGCGGGCAAACTGTAATACAGTTCAGTCTCCTTGGAAGAGTTTCAGTCCCTCGTTCCTCAAAAAGCTAACCATGATTCAGTAATTCCACTCAAGGAAAATGAAAACCTCTTCATATAAAATACTATACACAGATGTCTTAGTGTCATTATCCATAAAAGCCAAAAAGTAGAAAAAACCCAAATGACCATCAGCAGGTAAATGGAAAACAAAATGTGGTATATCCTGAGGACTGCAGAAATTCTTCACACAAACAGTCCATTCAAAAGAGGGCTGGGGACGCAGCTCGATGGTAGAGCACTTGCCTAGCACGTGAGGACCTGGCACTGCCCTAGCACTGCCATAAAAAAGGAGCTTTTCTGCTGCATGTGGGAGTGCATACCAATAATACAACCACTCAGGAGGCTGAGACAGGAGGATCACCATCATTTGCCAGCCTGAAACATAGGGAGTTCAAGATCAGCCAAACTAATAGCAAGATGCTGTCTCAAAAAAAAAAGGAGAAACAGAGACTCGACCAAACTTTAACACAGTTTCTCACACTCTATATTATCACCAAAGATAATACCGTCCCCTTCTGAGCTCTTCCTAGAAATGCTCAGGATTGTCAAAGAATTTACTGTTTGCTCCAGCCAAGAGCTGACGCAGACTGCTGACTCCTTTCCGGCAGTATTACTAAGCAGGGATTACAATGTGAACGCTTCTTCAGTAGGTAGGACTAGGCAGGCAGGTGACAGATTGCACTCAGGAATGTCCTAGTAGGGGAGGGGCCTGCCCCCGCCCGCCCAGTGCAAGGACAGAAGAGTCCGGAGCACATGCCTGCTCACACCAACACTCTAACTCCCACTCCCTCCGGCTTCCTCCACCTCCGGCTCCTTTTTTAAATTTTTGTTTGTTTGTTTGGTTTTTGTCCTTTTGAGACACGGTCTCAGTTCAGGCTGGCATTGAGCTCACTATGTAGCCCAGGCTGGCTTCCAACTCTCAAGTAACTCTCCTGCCACAGCCTCCCCCGTGCAGGGATTACAGGCCTGCACCACCATGCCCGGCTCCAGCTCCCTTTGTGAGCTCAGCACCGCCCCTCCAGGGAGCAGTTACTGAATGACATCTGTTTTCACCACTTTCACTAGGGCCCTGCTCTGCAGACCCCTGGCCGTCCACACAGGGAAACGTACGAGTTCATCATAAAGGAATGAAGCACAGACACAGCCCACAAGGGATGAGCCTTCAAACATGATGGTTAAGGAACACGCCCAGGCCCCACACTGCCTGATTCTGTTTATCTGCTATGAAAAGTCCAGAGCAAGCAAATCCACGGAGAAGGTAGATTAGTCAACTGGCCGTGACTACCAATGGGGAAGGTCGTTTCCATGGGGGTGATGGAAATGTTCTGAAATCATATAGTAGTGATTGGTGCACAACTCTGTAAGTATGCTAAACACACTAAATGGTGTACTTTAAAAGGGTGAGCATTCTGGTATATGAACTGTATCTCAACAAAGTTGTTCAAACTAAACTGAAATATAAATATCAGAAGGAGCAGGGGCACACACCTGTAACCCAGCACTCCGAAGGCACAGGTGCGAGGTCACAAGTCCGAGTTCAGCCTAGGCTACATAGGTCTCAAAAAAACTAAACTAAATAATGATGATGGATTTTTTTAATCGATGACACCTAAAAATAAATATTCATGCATGCAGGCACATGCCTGAAATCTGAGCTAGTCAGAAAGCTGAGGCAGGAGGATTGCAAGTTTGAGGTCAGCCTAAACAACTTAGTAAGACTCTGTTTCAAAATAAAAGGGCTGCCCAGGCGCAGTGGCGCACACTTGTGATCCCAGTGCTCAGGAGGCTGAGGCAGGAGGATCACTGAGAATTAGAGGCCAGCCTGGGCTACACAGTGAGTTCAAGGTCAGCCTGAACTCCATAGTGAAATTCTGTCTCAAAGAAAAAAAAGATGAAAACAAAATGAAACGGGCTGGAGATGCAGCGCAGTGTAGGGTGCTGTGTTTTGTGGGAACACGGCCCATCCAGAACCCTTCTGGCCTGGAAGACCAGGTATTCCAAGAAAACTCTGGAAATACAGGCAAAACCCTCTGATGTCCATGAAAATTAGTCTGGATCCGGATTCAGTTTTCTGTTAGCTTGGTTTCGGTTTTTTGAGACAGGGTCTCACTACATCACCTGGGCTTGGCCTTGAACTCACTACAGAGCCCAGGCTGATGTCCAGCTCACAATCCTGCTGCCTCGGCTTCCCACCTGCTAGGAATACCGGTGTGTGCCACCATGCCCAGCTCTGATCTAACTCCGGAAGACAAAACGCAAGCATAATTAGAACAGAAAATGTGGCCAATAACCAGCGCTGTAATTTAGCAAACTGACACCAGAGACATCAGTAAGAGATTATAGCCCTAGAGCACCGCTCAAAATTCACTGTGTAACCTCCTCCCATCGGGGATCCAAACTCTCCCATTGCACAAGTGAAGAAACAGAGACTCAGGGAGTTAAGCAATCTGCCCTGAAACCACAGTTATCAAGGCCTAGAGAACCTGGCTTCTGAGGAGCTAAGTCCTTTAGGGAGGCGGATTCTAACATCCACATGTAGAAGTGAAACAGGAGCGCCTACTCAAAACCAGCTGAAGCAAGAGAAACCCAGGCTGGCCAGGGAGCACAGGACTTGCTTTTCAGGTTTTTCTTCCAGCGCGCCTGGACACAACTAACGTCAACGATGCCCACGCGAACAGGCCAGCGAGGGAGATGCTCTGAGCCAACAGACCCCGTGCGCACAAGTCAGCAGGGCTCACCTCAATGTTCTCCACGATCCTGGTAACCACCGAGGCCGTCACTGAGTACCAGTACGACTCTCCTTTCTGCTGGCGCTCGTTCTGCAAGGGAAACAGCCGGGGTTAGAGTCCGGGCCTTCGCGCACCCGGGGGCCCCAGCACTGCCCCTCCGGCCAGCAGGCCCCCCGCCTTGCCTTCCACTTCTCCTCCAGGGCTTGCAGCAGCGCCTTCTTGCGCTCCCTTTCCAACAGCTCCTCCTTTTCATCGTTGAAGTCCTGGACTTTCTCAGGGGCGCCAATCAAATGGAGGCCGGAGATGGAGATGACCCAGGGGTCCACGTGCGGGCGGTAGAAGGGGATCTGCAGCGTGGCTTTGCCAATGAAGCCTGCGCGGGACAGGGAAGTCTGCTTCACCGCCCGCACGCGCTATGAGCTCCTCCCGCTTCTAGTGCTGTGTGGGTTTTACCATTTGTTTTTTAATTTTAACAAATAAGCAGCAGGCTCTTGCATATGTGAAACGAGTTAAGGCTGGGAACAAGGCATGGTGACGGAAGCTGGAGAAAGCTCAGGCAGACTTTATCACGCCAAAGGTGCCCTTGGCCCCTGGAAACGCTTTCCCAGTGGGAACTCACCTTAAACCTCCTCGGGGTGCCTTTCTTCCCACGGCACCTGGGCAAGCCATAGGCCCAATACTCATGCTTGCTGGTTATTAACTGGCTGGTTGCTAAGTGTTTGTTAGGAATTCTCAGACCTGTAGTATGTCCAGCCTTGAATACACCCATCACAAACTAAAATGCAGGTAACACTACATTGGTACGCTAGTGATAAAAAAGAATTTTTCTTTTGCTTTTTTGAAACAGGGTCTTACTATGCACTTCAGGCTGGCCGTGAGCTCATTTTGTAGCCCAGGCTGGTCTCGTACTTGCAACGATCCTCCTGCCTCAGCCTCCTGAGTGCTGTGAAAAAAAAATTCTGAATGTTTATGAGAAAATATGCTGATGAAAAAGCTAAATGGGGGCCTGAGTTCAATTCCTGGTACCAAAAAAAAAAAAGGAATGCAGAAAGGTAAATGACCTGATAAAACTATGCTATTTATTTCTCGAGTCCAATTTCTAGTCAGGCTTCCTACAATAAAAGCTTTCTTTAACTTGTAAGAAGAAACACAAAACATATATGTGTACACAAATAAAGAGCAAAACAGAAGAGAGATAAATAATAGGGAGTTCAAATACCTCCCCAACACATTCTGTTGTTTTAAAAATATTTCAATATATGCTAATTTGTTTCATTTTACTACTAGTTTATCTTAGTTGAAAAAAAAGTTTGGGTTGATGTTTCTTTTTCATAAGAATCTTAGGGCTGGGGATTTAGCTCAGTGGCATAGCGCCTGCCTTGCAAGCATGTGGTTGTGAGTTCAAGCCCTGCTACCAAAAGACAAAAAAATAATCTTTCTGGTTTATGTCTTACACTCTGAGTAACTACTCTGAAGATAATGGTATACAATGGAAATAAGTACTGTTATTCTATTATTATTTGGTGAGGAAATTTTTACTGATTAAAATTTTTTAAGAACTGAATTGATTTATAACACCACCACAGGAATAATGTAGAAGGTCATGGGAATTATTCTCCTGGCTCTCAAAACTCCACACAGCGCGAGCGATGTCCCCCCTCTGAAAGCCACACACACCAACGGTGTGCTCCTGACCCTCCAAGAGCAGGAAGCAGTGGCAGCTACCATTAGGGTTCAGAGGAGAGCAGGTCATTAGCAACCGTCTTCTCCTCTGTTTTCCTCTTCTGTATGTGGTGCTGCAGATCAAAGCCAGGGCTTCACACATGCTAGCTAGGAGTGTTCGTCCCTGACCAACACGCTTGTCCCCTCGGTCCCCAGCTCTTTAACTGTGTTATTGACCAGGCAGCTGGTCACTGTCCTGCAGTACTGGGTGTGGCGCAGGGCAGAGCAGCGTAGAAGCAAGGCTCTTGGTTCCATCTTCAGTATTGCAAAAATATGAAACAACATAAACCGGGGCAGCGGTCACGCTGTCTTGAGGCAGGGGTCTCAAGGAATCCACAGCAGTGCTCCTGCCTCAGCTTCCAAGTGTTGGGGTTACAGGCTACACCACACACTTGGCTAAAGCAATCTTATAGTAAGTAATGAAAAATGTGGATTTTACCAAGAAAAATGAAAACAAGTTTATTTAATAAAATTTATACTAAACTGAAAGCATATGCCAATTTTCACAAAGAAGAATTTTAGTAATAATTACTACATTTGCAATTCTACTCTAACTTAATTGAGGGAGGATACATAGCATTCTGATAGTAACAGAACAACAAAATATATCTTGTTACATTTTACTTTTTACCAAAATAGATTATTTTTGCAAAAAGCATAAAAGGTTATTTTTATACAAATATTTAAAAACTTCACCAATCTTTCCCGAAGAGCCTCTCTTAATCTTTTTTTTTTCCCCACTGTTGCTAAGTTATCCTCTCTTAATCTTTCAACAGTCAAATAATTCTCTTTTGAAAATATCCAGTGGAGGCGGCACGGTGGAGCATGCCTGTCGTCGTAGCGCTCAGGAGGCTGAGGCAGGAGGATCACTTCAAGTTGAAGGCCAGCCTGGGCTACAAAGTGAGTTCAAGGCCAGCCTGAACCGTAGAATGAAATTGCCTCATAAAAGACTCCCCCACAAAAAAAGAAACAAACAAACAAAGAAAATACCCAGTTTCATCCTTTCTTGTTTGTTTTTAGGGGGACAGGATCTCGCTGCAGTCCAGCTTGGCCTTGAACTCACAATCCTCCTGCTTCAGCCTCCCAGGGAGGGGATTACAGCCATGTGACACCACTTTCAGCAGTGGCCCTCTTTTCTAAGACTTCCTTCAGATTCGAATCCATCCGTATCTCCGCGTCTACTTCCTTGCTTATAATCGATCCCTAATTCTACTTCGGGAAGCTGAAATATTTTGCAAGATTTCTATTCTATCCACCTAGCAATGTATTTGCATTGTACTTGCATTTTATTTAAATAAGCTCGCATTATACAGGAAAAGGCCAGGCATGCTGAAGGACACCTGTAAAACCAGCACTTACGAGACTGAGACAGGATTGCTGAGTTTGAAGCCAGCCTGGGCTACAAAGTGAGTTCAAGGCCAGCCTGAACTGCACAGTGAAACTGTCTCAAAAAGACCAAAAAAAAAAAAAAGTTATATATATATATAAAAGACTGACATCAACAGCCTAACAATGACAGGCATCTACATGCACAAGGGCTAATTTTATAAGTGGTCATTCATTAAAGACTTTTATTCTATGACAGGTTTTCTTTTGTTTTTTATTTCCTTACCAACCTAATTCCTATAGAATTCCAATCACTGCTAACACCTTTTGAGTATGCCAAGCACGGCTGTGAGTTCATTATTAACATACTAACTCCTGTATCTTTCTCAAAAATCCTATGTACCACTAGTCTCTCTCTGTTGTGTGTGTGTGGGGGGGGGGGGTTAGTGGGGATGGAACCCCTGGCCTCACAAGGTGCTAAGCAAATGCTCTACCACCAAGCTATATCCGTAGCCCATTCACCTCATTTTAAACCTTTATGATGACTTTTATAATGAGTGTTTAGCTTGTCCAAGGTCACACATTCAGAAAATGGCAGAGAGGGAACATTAATCCAAGCATACTGTCGCAAGGCCCACCTCTTATTTAATGAGTAAAGCCATCTTGCAGTAATACCTAGGATGAATTCATCATGGTGGATTAAAAACCGGTAGCCAACTTAACGCCAGCTGGACTGACTCAGCGTGGTGCTGTGTGGATGGCCCACCTGAGGACTGTGGCCAAGATACAAAGGAGACCGGGAGAGGAGACTTTAGCACGGTGGTCCTACGTGCTGCTGTTTGGAGCCGCTAGTTCTCCTGGAGGAGCCTGTCACGCTGGCTTCCCTGATATGAACTCAGCTGTTATCACTGAAGGAGCTCAGGACCTCGCTGTCACTGAGAATGGCTGTGGTACTTTTCAGGGGAGCCCTGGTCCCTATTTTGAGCATCATTTCTTGGCTCCAGTGCAGATCTGTCACCCCACTGGCACAGACTTCCTAGCTTCCACCGCTGACCTCTGGGCTTTCTCAGCACAGATCCTTGATACAGACTTTCATGAGTCACTGTCACAGGATCTAGGCTCCCAGCTAGACTCATGGGGGGTAGAGGAGCACTGACATGGGCTCCACGTCTTCAGCTGGACTCATGCAGGACACTGCTGTGGGATCCAGGTCCTCGTCTAGATTTTCTAGGTCTTTAGTGCAATGGACAGATTTCTCACACTTTCTTTGTAACTGACTCCTTGGGTGCCCATTATAAAAATACTACAAATTCAGTGTCCTGTAATGTAATCGTTTTCCTTATAAACCTCGGACTATAACAAATTCCCTAGGAATAAGAGCCCTCTGCATCTAGAACGGAGGTTCTTAGCTTTAGTAAGCTTAGAACCACTTGGAGTACTTGTTAGAAACATAAATTTCAAGATTTTGATTCTGTCGATCTGAGGGCCACTTGACCTGCCCACTATGAAGCCGAAGTCATCCTGACACAGCAGCCTAGAGACCACACAGTGCAGTTAACCCTTCCTTTCATGTCCCAAACAATTTGATGCTTCCTCCCTCTCCTTTAGTTCCACATACCAGCTTTGACTTCAAATGGTAATTCCAGTTCTTTTAGGGCATCTTTCTTTAATGGCAAGTTTTCTAATTCCACAGCACCTAAAAAATAAAAACACCATCACGACATAGTCATTCAGCAAGCAGGAGGTGGCCCTGTGTGCACAGCACCGAAGGTGAAAGTTGTACCTCCAGAACACAGCTGTAGAAGGTCACGTGCAAAAACAAAACAGAATAAAGCCATGCGCAGTGCTACGGCCACCCCAGAGTTTCATCTGTGGTGCTTCCGGCCACGTACATGACAGAGAGGGAAGCAGGGATCTAACTTTCTTAATAGGCCAAATAGAAAGTGTGTCAGGCTTTTGATGACATCTACTGCCTATTCTGGTCTGTGCTATTCTGTAATTGCTTAGACACAGGGCCCTCCTATGCTGCCCAGGCTGGTCTCAATTCCTGGGCGCAAGTAACCTTCCTGCTTCCACTTCCCACATACTTGACACTACTGGCATGTTACTGTAACCGGCTTATTTTTTCAAAAGCTGGACTGGGGATATAGCTCAGTGGTATAGCAGTTGCCAAACTTGCAGAAGTACCCAGCATAAATACTGGTCCCTACTATTTAAAAAAAAAAAAAAAAAAAAAACAGTAAGGCAGGTGTAGTGGCACCCACCTATAATCCCAGCACTCAGGAGGCTGCGGCACAAGGATTCCAAGTTTGAGGTCAGCCTGGGCTAAATTGTGACTTCAAGGCCAGCATGAACTACAAAGCAAGACCTTGTCTCAAAAAAATAAAAAAACATCTTGGTGAGCTCAAATATAGCCTGCAGGCCAGAGCTTCAGCTACCCTGCCCCACAGGAAAGTCAGTATCTGGTTCACTGGGACGCCATGCAGGCTCCCAGGCCCATCCCCAGATCAGAAGCCCTGGATTGAAACATCAGAATCTGCCTCTTTTTTTTTTTTGTACCAAGAATCAAACTCACAACCTCGTGCTTGCCAGGTAGGCGCTGTGCCACTGAGCTTTACCCTGACCCCAAGAATCTGCCATTTTAAACAAATTTCTCCCATCCTCCTCTCCACCCCTCCTCAAAATGAATATAGTCCCCGTGACTGAAATAAAACTGGTCTTCAAAAGGAATTCTGCTTTCTTCTGGAGACGGTCTCTCCCTGCTCTCTTCTGCTTGCAGCTGCAATAAATGCCAGGAAGCAGAGGAAAGCAAAAGATACCACCGCGATCCTTTTCACCCCAGGCTCTTAGGATGATGTGAACCAGCAGGCACAGCAGGTGCTCTGCCCACATGAGTCAGCGCTCAGACTGCCAGCCCTGGCACTACTGAGGGGCAGAACCCCCAAAGGGAGGGCCCAACTAGAGGAAGGCAGGTTACCGTGCTGCGTCTGCCTTCACAGCGAGTGCCAGGACCTGGGGCCCTGCCTAGTTTTGCCTCCCAGCTGCCACGAGATGAACAGGCCTCTGCCATCAGGTACCAGGGGCAAAGGGGCCACGCAACCATGGACCAAAACCTCTGAAACTAAAATGAAGCCATCCTCACATCAAGCTGATTCTCTCAGGTTTGCAGTCTCGGTGACAGAGAGCTGACTGCAAGCATTCGCACTCATGCCACTGTACCCTGAGGCCTGCTCTGGCCTGCACGCTGTGCTGGGAACACAGTGAGCAAGGCGGGTCCCAAGCTCCAGACTGCTGGAGGGCCCGCCATCGCTTTACTAAGCTATTTGCACAAGAATTTCCAAGCCACTTAACTCTGCCTGAGATAAATATTTCTAGAAACAAGAAATAGAGGCAACTACTAACTTGGAAGAAGCCCTGGGTTAAGCCAGACAAGGCTTTCATTTCAAAGACAATGCAGGAAACTTGGTGTTTCTCCCTTTAAAGGGCCAAGAATTAAAATCCAGCAATTTGGCAAATTCAGCACAAATGCAGTCTACTTATTTTACTTTTTTAATGAATTAAGCTTATCAGTAGACTTTAGGAATACAGAATGACCACATTCATCACAGGGAGTCTGTACCTGTGCGTGACCTGGCTGGATCCTCTGTTTTCCCCCTACCCTCTCTCTCCCTAGTTCCCCTTCTCATTTTACTTAATTTTTATTTTTTCAGGCACACATGAGACCTATGTAGGGTCCCACATACATTAAGAGTACCCCAAAGAAAAGTAATCCTTGCAAAACAACCCTATTTCCATATTTGGGAGAAAATATCAGGCAACGTTTTCCCTAAATGAAGCTGGCCACACAGGAACAAGCACACTGGTTCCTCCAGAACCCAGGGCCTTGTGGACCGGACAAGCGCTCTACCCACGACCCACACATCCAGCCAGTTTCTTTGTCTTTAGAAAAGCATCGCTTTCACTTGGAACCGCCTTATTTCTCAGTAGGAGAATCCATCCAAAGGCAAGGTTTCTCTGCCTGGGTTTCTCGGGCTTCTACACAGCCCTAGAGAAACGGAAGGAATTGTGCGCAGCTCACGCAATGACAAGTAAAGAAGCTGAAGCGCAAAAAGCATAAGAAAAGTTTTAGAAAAAGTCAGGGTGGTGGCACACACTTGGAACCCCAGCGCCTGGTAAACTGCAGCAAAACACTGCCATGAGTTAAAGGTCTGCCTGGGATACACGGTGAGTTCAAGGCCGCCCAAGAGTCCACAGTGAGACCTTGTCTCAAAAACAAGATACAGTTGTAGAAAGGAGAGGAAAGGCTGAGAAGAAACAGCAGCCCACAGCATCCCAAGAGCAAAGGAATCAGGGAAGGCGACACAGCTCCCTAACTCCACCCTCCCACATAGGTGCCCGCCACAGCCCTGCTGGGCACGGTGCCTCCAGCAGCCAGGCAGCAGAGCACCCAAAGGAGGCGAAATTTATAAATTATAATATCGTCTCTTCCCCTCCAGGCAGACAGTGTTTCATCTTAACATTGCTCATCTCAGGTTAGCAAACACTCTATTCACTGAACGTTCTTCAGCAATCTCTGTCGACTACTGGATTCTTTTCCCTCTGTTCCATATTATGTAAAGGACCAGCCTGAGGTCTGGAGCTTAGGGGAAATTAAAAACTAAAAACAAAAATAAAAAAAGGAAACTGGCCGCAGCACTGAGAGGCTGAAGCAGAGGATCACAAGCACCTCTCTCACCTTGGCAATGCAGCAAGAACCTGTCTCCAAGTGAAAAACAGAAAGAGCGGGATGTGGCTCAACACAAAGGCACGGATTGTATTCCCAATGTCACAAGAAACAGGGAGCAGCAGGGACTGAAGTTCCGGGTTACGAACATGCAGACCAAAGTCCAGCCACTTTGCCACGCACTGGCAGCCACTGGCTCCTGACCCCAAACCATTCCGCATGCGATTGCAAGTTTCCAGCTTCCAGACTTCACTCTCCCGGGGAGCAGTGACTCACCCCCTGCCACCTATCAGAATCCTGTTCAGCCCACTCAAAACCTACTTGCACAGCAGCTCTCCCAGCATCCCTCCCCGCGCACCTGCTGCATTAAGCCTCTGTCTCCAGCACAATTCAACAGAGAAGGCCTCTAGTTGCTGTCTACTCTGCGTCCCCAACAGATCAGCAGCTCGCTGAGGACAGGGGCCGGAGAGGTGGAAACCATTTAACAGTAACAGCGCCGACATGAAGTTAAGCACTTCCTGTCCACCGAGTACTTTATGCACACCCTCCTCCACCCCTTATCGGGGCTGTGGCTCAAACCAGGGCCTCGTACTCGCCAGTCAAGTGCGCTACCACTGAGCCATGCCCCTGCCCCCCGTTACTTCATTCCATCTGCACTGCAGTGCAAGAAGTTCTACAGCTTGAGTGCGGATGTCTCCAAACTGCTTGGGCCTAGAAGTTTTCCAGATTTCAGTTTTAGACATCATGGCATGTCTGCATACACTGACAGGCTAAGCAGCCCTGATCCAAAACTCCAAAATGCAACGTGCCCTGAAATTAGAAATGCTGGGAGAACCCTACTGCCCTAAAATGTGTCAGATTTCAGACCATTTCAGATTCCAGAACATTTCGTGTCAGAGATGGTCAACCCAAATTAGATTCTCAGTTTTTGTAATAAAAATGAGGCTTAAAGAACAGGCAGTTTTCTCTGAGAAATGAAGGAGTTTGCAGCGGGGATGGTGGTGCACACCTGTCACCCCAGTACTCGAGAGGCTGAGGCAGGAGGACCACCGTGAGCTTGAGGCAGCATGGGCTACCTCCGTGAGTTCAAGTGAGTTCAAGGCCAAACTGAACTACACAGTGAGACCCTATCTACACACACACACACACACACAGAAAAGAAGGCACCAGAGCTTACAACAGATCTGTCTAACCTCAGGCAATGAAAAGGAAAACAGGTGAAGAGGAGACTTTGGTTCTGGCCGCCACAGTCACAGACAACCCCGTAACAGGCAAACCCCGGCCCCGAGCCTGAGCCTGAGCTCTGGGATCTCCCTCCGCTGCCTGTGTCAGTCCACACCCAGAGCCGTGCTCCCGGCAGGAGCTCAGCAAACATTGGCTGAATGATGGAAAGCGTGAAACCTTAGCACACCGTGCTGTCTCTGTCCCCCACCAGCTCTTCCCATTTTTATCACCATTAGCACACGTGCCCTATCTACTCTCTAAGTCCAGCCCTTCAGCCACTCCTGTGCTGGTGGCCACAAGGATGGGGACGACGATGACACTAACATCCAACGGATGCCCAATGTGCGCTACAACAGCTCTAGGCTCTCGGCCCCACAGTCCTTTATCTGGGCCTCAGGGTCCTGTGAGACACTTCATAGTCATCTCCAGTTCACAGAAAGGGACACCGACGTATGCAGAATCAGAGTCTTTGATCAAGTAACTGGTAAACACGAGAAGTGATCAGAACCCACAGTGTGAGCCAAGGGTGGGCTGACTCAGGAGGCTGGGGCAGGAGGATCACCTCAAGCTTGAGGCCAGCTGGGCTACACTGAGTTTAAGCCCAGCCTGAACTATATAGTGAGATCCTGGCTAAAAAAAATAAAAAATGAAAAACATGTCACGTTCTGGTTTCTCTTTTCATTTTCTTCATTTCCTCTAGTCACGCGACAGAAAATCTATATTCTTAGCCACTGTTTTAGTCTCCCTTTCACCCCCCCATGCATCCATAACAGTAAATAGCTACAGATGGATCAAAATAACATCCTTATTTCTATTTAGGATCCCGCAGCCCTAAACACTGCTTAACTGTGTCATAAAGATCAACAAAAATAGTGGCCAATGCCTATAACCCCAGCGCCCGGGAGGCTCAGGAGAATAAAAGTTTAAGGCCAGCCTGGGCTACATAGTGAGCCCTGGTCTCAAAAAAAAGAAACACCATAAAAAGACCAATGTGAGCTTCAATCCTGAGGTCACCTTGACTGCATGAAGACATGCCTCAATTAGTAAAGCACACTAAGTCGCGAGCCCCTTTCTTCTCCAGTGCTGCCCCCCCCTCCAGTTCCAGCCACCAAGAAGCAAGCTCTACTTCTTAGAATCCAATGCGACAGCTGGTAAGTACAGCCCTTTCTGTAGCATGCCTGTAATTCCAGCACTCAAGAGGCTGAGGCAGGATTGCCACAAGTTTGAGGCCAGCCTGGGCTACATAGTGAGATGCTACCTTCAAAAAAATTTATGCTTTAAAAACCTGTCGGGATTAGAACTCTGTCATTAGCAAAGGCGCTAGGAAACACCCGACGCCATAAGTATATGTGTATTCACTTCCTCAGTAAACACGTTCTCACCACACTACTCTTGGAAAACCAGGTCTTTCATTAGCAGGGTTTGCTTTGCAGCTCTCTTTCAAGGCCTGTTACCCATGCCTTGCACAACTCAGAATCACTGGGTGCCAAGGAACTTCAGTAAGTGACCAAACAGGTGAACCATTACTACTGTGTTCTGATTTGCTTGTGACAGAGCGCTGCTATCTAGCTCAGTCTTCCTGCCTTGTGCTGGGATCACAGGCGTGCACCACCATGCCCAGCTCTTCTCACTGTCTGGAGGTATGCATGGCATGCTGGGAGCTGACCCCAGGACCTTTGCCCTGAGCTGTACCCCAGCCTGTTTTGTGCTGTACTGTTGTTGTGCTTTGTTTGAGACGGGACCTCACTAGGTCCCCAAGTTGCCCCAGTAGGATTCAAACCTGTGATCTCCCCCTCTGCCTCCCAGAGCTCTGGGATTACGGGTGTGGGCCACCCCATCCAGCCAGCCCTCCTCACACCTGCTTTCCATTTAACTGCTAAAAGACAGGAGGGAAAGCAGGAGAACAGGGAAAATCCACTTCTGCCTCCAATAAAAGGGACACATGGGGAGGAGCAGCGGTGACAGGTCCCATAGCCCACGTCTGCCACCATCATCCCCCCGGGATTGCACGGGTTAATTGGACCAGAAGGGACAGCGACAGTTCAAGGCCAGCCCGCACTACATAGCTAGCAAGACCCTATCTCAAAAAAAACCCCACAAATTAATAATAGTACAATAATTGGTAAGTAAATTTTAATAAAGCCAAGGTACCCTGCAAAAGCTAGGTACACTTCAGACAACTGCATTACCCCTCTGATGCAACTGTATTGTCTTCAGTTACATTTTAGTTTGAAACAAACAGTTAACCTTTATTAAAAAGTATTATTCCTGCTCAGTACTTGATGTGTGAAACAAAATCTGCACTTCTCAAAGGGAAGCACAGCATCTTAGAGCTGGCATACTGCCTCACATTTATAATAAAAATGCCACAGAATAATTCATTTGAACGACACTGAGCTTTGTTGCTCCATCTTTACAAATTATCAACTATATTGTTAACTTCAAAATATACTGTATTAATTAGCATATGTCTGAAATACATAACGAATCCACTCCTCATGGGATGTTGGTACCCGTGCATCCTGAGGCCTCCGACTTCCTGTCCTCTCCCCTCCCATCTCCATGAGTTCTATCTCCCTGGGGTTTTTTTTGTTTGTTTTCTATTATCTTTTATTTTGTTATTTAAGTTATGGATACCTTGGGTTCTCATATCAGTGTCACAGATTCTGAAACTCATCTTGAGTGTCTATGATACGTCAGCAGATTGAATGTTATCTCACTGGATCCTTACAGCAACTGTGTGGAAGCGTTCTGCCCTCCTTTTCTATGGTCACATAGCTTTTACATGTTTGTTGGTGTGTGTGTGTGTGTGTGTGTGTGTGTGAGAGAGACACAGGAACAAACCCGTATCTGAGGCCAAAGTCAAAGTGGCTGTCTCCATAAAGCCAAAAACTGAACTGAGGTAAAGCAGAGACACCAGCCTAGAGTTTGTTTTGTTCTGAGTATTTAGTAGTTCCATAAAATCTAAAGCAATATAGCCACACACTTAGGTTACTCCACTGTAACCATCACAAGAGAACATGATGCAACACGAGCATTAGATTTTATTATCCTCAACAGAACGAAAAATGTAAGTAACAGAAATGCCATCTGCTAAGCTCTACTTTGCCAAAGACAAACCCACACAACTCACCTTTGAGCAGAGCAACTGAGAGCTGATCAGTGTTCAGGTTATTGACATATTTCCCTAAATAGGTGTTGAGAACCCAGGCGACGAGACCTTCCAACATGACTATTTCCTTAGGAAAAGTGCTTAAAAATCATGGATCATTCTTTATGTCTCTCTTTCATGGTCACAAAAGAATCTACAAGAGAAAAAAATGAAAATCAACACAAAAAGCAGGCTGACTTTCTAAGGTGATTTATTACCCTACCTGCCTGATAGAGAATGAATACAAGAGACAGGCTTAACAGAGCAGAGGCAAGAAGCCCTGTTAAAATGACTCACTTGGCCTCACATGGCGGCTCCTACGTATGATCCCAGCACTTGACAGGATGAGGCAGAAGGATCACCATGAGTTCAAGGCCAGCCTGGGCTACATAGTAAGTTCAAGGCCAGCCTGGACTAGATAGCAAAACTCTGTCTCCAGAAAAATTGATCAATTAATTAATTAAGTTAAGGATAACTAATTAATTAACTAGTTAAGGATAACATGGGAAATGTGGGGCTAAACCAATACTTCTACATTCTGATGCATCCACAAGGAATGTCATTTATAAAGTTTCTAAAAATCTGCAATTTGAAATGTAGCCTTTCACTGGCCCTCTGTACTCACCTTGAGATCAGAGGTTTCTGTATGAGGGGGATCCTGCAAATACTTGAAGACATTTGTGATTACCATGACTTTGGTGGCTGCTACTGATTTCTTCTGCGTAGAGACCACAGCAGGTTCTAAATATCCCACAGAGTACCAGACAACTCACCATGGCAAAGAATTATCCAACCCAGACATTAACAGGACCAATACTGAGAAACCCTAACCAAGATGAAGGCCAAAATGCCCCAAGAGAGTATATGAATGAAATTCTTATTCTCCAGTAAGCCTATTAAGGTTGCTCTAATTAAATTTTGTAAATTTATTCATCAGGATCATCATTCATAAAATAATATAAATGACAGGCAGGAGGGAGTGCTTTATGTGTACTGGAGCTACACTGTTGGTACCTGTTCACCTGCCCATGCTGATACAATGATATCAGTCAACAGCAACAAATATCAGAAATCCACTAATTAAAATCAGGCATATGCCTATAATCTCAGCAAAAGCTGAAGCAGTAGGATCGCTGCAAATTTAAGGCCAGCATGGGCCACCTAGCAAGACTGTCTCAAAAACAAAACAAAACTTTTAGAAATCTACTGATGAGAGCTATTTAGATTCATTACTGAATTAGTACTGTTAAGTGGTGTTCAGTATTATAAAAATAATACATGTAGATGGTGCTCAGTATTACAAAAACAACATGAGAGAAACTGAGGCCCAGATGTTTAAATGTGCTCCCAGGTCGCTCAGGCAGCAGATTCCAGTTAGAACGGCAGGCCGTAAATCCTGCCCTATGCCACCTAGGTCGGTCACCAGTCACTGTGCCAAGACACTCCAGTTTCCGGTGGCCTATATCCCACTTGGAACCATCCTACTTTCAGGATCCTTTCCAACTACTGTGCCCCACCTCTAATGATTCATCGTAGTGCCAGGAGATACACCCATCCCAAGGGGAACATCTGTCTCCCAAGAAGACGCAAACACAGGCCCCCATCAAAGTTAACTCAACCTCTAGTAAAAACTGACTTTTAGCCAGGGGTGGTGCTGCACAACAGCAATCACAGCCCAGGAGGTCAAGGTGGGAGGGTCAGGAGGAGTGAGGGGCCAGCACAGGCTACACTGTGTGTTCAAGGCCAGGCTATGCTAGATCCTGTCTCAAAATAAATAAAACAAAAAGACTGACTTCAATTTGTCAGCATTATCTTGTATTTCCAGCGGGGCATAGTGGTACACGCCCATAATCCCAGCACTGGGGAGGCCAAGGCAGGAGGCTAGCTTAACAGAGTAAAAGAAACGTTTTTCTTTGGAAGTTTTTAAACAGGTAGACCTGTGAAAACAAAATGTGAAGCTGACTTGCATACTCTTACTACGTGAGTTCCAACTACACTTACACAAGCAACCCACGTCAGAGTACTTTGTTTTTTGGCAGGGTGGACTGAACCTAGGGCCTTGTGCCTGTTTGACAAGCACTCTACCCAAGGCCTACAATCCCAGTCTTTTCTTCAGAGCAGAATCGCATTGCTAAAATGTGTAGGCTATCCTCAAACTCGGAATCCTCTTGCCCCAGCCTCCCAAGCAGCTAGGATTACAGGCCTAGGCCAGGACACCTGGCTGGAGTACTCTATTTTTGTTGTTACTGCCATTAATTCTGGCCATAAATGCCAACACTCCCTGCAGTGCCAGCTACAAATGCATCCTCCCTAAAAGGAAACTACTATCATTTTGTAAACAAGGTCAGGCCCTACCCTGCTTACCCTGAGTGGAAAAATGCAAAGCACTGATTTAGAGGAAGGCAGGGTGATTGGTGCCTTAAAATGCCCTACCCAGTAAACTGAGGCCGAAGCCGAAACCCTCCACTGGCTCTCCTGAGCAATAAGATTCAGCCTGACACCACTTCAAGGATTCCCTTAAAGAATCCCGGTTCCAGCGCCAGACTGGTCGGAATCCTGGAGGCTTCTAGGCAGCTGTCTGGCACTAACGCCACCTGGCTTCCTCCACCCAGGGAGCAGGTGACACTGGGAATCCGGGCTCAGTCCACTGGCGGGCAGACAGCCGGGTATGACCTTGAGCCAGGCCCCTCCCCGAGAGGCTGCCAGACCCAGGAATAGGAAAGACTTGAAACTGGACCGGAGCGTCCCGCCTCTCCCCAAGGCGGCCGGGGCCAAGCGCTGTCAGGTCCAGGGAGCTCTTAGATGGGACGCACGGGGGGTGGGTGTCAGGCAGGTGGCCCTACAGGAACTGCTGCCCAGAAGAAAAAGCTCTCGAGTCCCTGCCGCTGCCTGCGCACTGGAGCCCCACGCCTCACTCAGCAGACAGAAACTCGCACCTCGCACGATGGCTCTGGGGGTCCCCTGCCTGGAGAGGGGACTGTGCAGGGCGTGACCCCAAGGAACAAGGGTTAAAGACAAGTCAGAGGCCTGAGGACCCCCGACTCAGAGATGATCTCAGGGAGCCGATTAAAGGAGGTGGACAAGCCGCCCTAAAAACTGTCTGGTCCCCCATTCCTAGAGGTAAAGCAGAAGCTTGCACCCCAAAAACTGGGCTCAGCAGGAGCCACGAGCTGACGCCCGCTGATCCCAGGGTGCTGGGTCAAGGAGACTCGACTGGTCGCCCGGGTCTCCGGGGGCTTCCCCAGCCCCGGGCCTGCGCCCGCGGAGCCGGCAGGAACAGGGGCGCAGGGGTCCCCGCGAGGGCGAGGGCGCGGGCGGACCGGACGCCGGTGTCCAGGGCTCGCAGCGCCGCGCCGCCCGCAGCGGGCCGGGTCCCAAATCCCCGGCAGAGGCGGAGCGACCCCGCGGCCCTACCTGTCGCTGTCGGGGCGCCCGCCCAGCCCGGCACTGCGCGGCGTTTCCTCTCCGCCGCTTCTCAATGGCGCAGGCCGCCGGCGCTCGACCAGACCAATCGAGCGAAGACTCGCAGGCGTCTGGCCAGCCGAGCGCCGAGCCATCGAGAAAGCGCCCCCTAGCGCTGCCCCAGGCGCCTGCGGAGCTGTTGGCTCCTGGGTTATCTGGCTTCAGTGATTGCCGCTGGGTCTTAAAGGTAGGGAAACCAAGTCCCAAGAAGAGCAGGCCAACACATGACTGTGATTTACAAAGTACTGGAACCCAGGATTCTTCTTTTTCCATCTACCAAAAATTGCAATAGACTTTACAACATCTGGCCCACGCGGGGGTCTGGAATCAGACTGTTCCCTTCCCAGCTGAAGGCAGCCTCCCCTGTATGCTACCCCAAGCACCAACTAAATTTGATCCTTTCCTTTTTTTTTTTTTTTTTTTTTTTTGGTTGTTCGTTTTTCATTTTGTTTTGCTTTTTGATTTGTAGTTCAAACAGGCTTCGAACTCACAGCGATCCACCTGCCTCAGCCAACCCGGTGCTGGGATTACAGGCATGCACCACCAGGCCAAGATGGTCTCTTCTTATTTTGTCCACTTTCCCAGTTCCACGCTGCCCAACATGCTTCAGTTCCTGCAGCAGCACTTCTGCATTTGCTGTTCTTTCTATTTAGGTTGCTCCCCTTAAACCACTGCTGTCCAACAGAAATACAAGGTAAGCCACCTAGAAAAGCCTCATAGGTAATTTTACATTTACTTGGTACATTTTTAAAAAGGAGATGGGGGGAGGTGAAATTGATTTCAATAAATGTTATTGAATCCAATATTAGTTGACAGTGAATCTCAACTTTGAACAATATGTAAATGGTTTGCATTCTAATGGAGCCACCAGATGGGTGATCTGAAAGACAGCAGGAAACATATCCTAGGTCACTCATTTTGAAGACAGTCCCAGTCCCATAAATACACTCACCCCTGGAGCACAATGTACATCTGTCTCTAGGGCAAGTTCCTGCACTCTATTTTGCTAAGTGCATACTTTTTAAGGATCTCTTTGTCCCTCTTACATGTCCTGAAAATTCCTTTTCCTTGAAGAGAGTCAGGTAATTGTATAGGTAAGGTGGGTTTAGGGACCTGCTAGACCTCATTTAGTAGCATGCCTGACAGAATGTGTGTACAGATATATATATAAAACCTTGGGTTGTGGTTTGGGTTTTTTGGAGACAGTCTAACTAAGTTAGCTGAGCCTAGCCTTCAACTTGGAGCTCTCTTCCTGCCTTGGCCTCCTGAATACTGGGATTATAGACATGTATCAAGATACCTAGTTTTTTAGAAAAATTATTAATGTTATATTAGGGTCATTTTCTAATATGTTTTTAAATCCAGGAGCAAGTTACACTTAGGCACATTTCAGGTACTTAGAAGCCTCATGTGACTGATGGCTCCAGCACAGCTCTGGATATTTATGGAGCTGACCCCTTCTTGTTTCAAATGTCTCCAATCATAAAGGACTTTACCCTACCTAAAAGTCCCTCATCTACTGTCTTAGTGTACTTCCTTCTTAGAATGTAAAGCTCCTTGAAATTATTTTATGTATTTGTTTATCCATATGTTGTTACCTTTTCCTACCCAGAGTTCCATAAAAGCAAAAGTTTTATCTTTTTCAGCAGTGTTTCTTGAGCCCGCCATGGTGACACACACCTGTAACCCCAGCACTCAAGAACCTGAGACAGGAGGATCACCACAAGTTTGAGGCCAGCCAGGACTACATAGTGAGGCTCAAGGCCAGCTTGAACTACAGAATGAAACTCTGTCTCAAAAAATAAAAATAAACAAATGAATAAAAATACATTTAAATTCAAAAAAAGAGCAAGAGAAACACACCAGGCTCATATAAATCTGCGGATGCAAGAAACACGACAAGCCTGCCATTATAATTACCAGCCCTCTAACACTCAGCTAACGAGGGTGGCATGAACTGACTCACTCCCAAGCCAATCCTGAGTTCCTAGAAGGCAGTGCACATCTGTAATCCTAGCACTTGGGAGGCTGAGGCAGGAGGATCACCATGAGTCTGAAGCCAGCCTGGGCTACGTAGTAAGTTCAAGCCCAGCCTGGAATATATGAGGAGACCCTGCCTCAAAAAAACACAAAAGTTTAAAAAGCAAACACGCCCAGTTTCTGTGGAGGCTGAGGCAGGAGAAGCACTTGGGCCAAGAGTTTAAGGCCAGCCTGGACAACCTCCATCTTAAAAAAAAAAATCAGACAGTAATTGTACAAGTAGACAACGGTACCCTGGGACCATTCTATGTCCGAAGCACCCTTTGGAAGCCTAACCTGTCTGCACGGCCTGCTGGGTGCTTTTTCTATCATCCCAGCACCATTTCTCTGCTTGTGAGCTTCAGTAAACATAGCTGCTTTTCTCTCATCATCAAGTGTACGCTTACACTTTGCAATTCGTTGCTTGCCGTACTCAAAAGCTTGGAGTCTGTCTGTTGGGCCCACCCCAATAACACTAGCAGTGGTGGCAACCCTATGGCTCGTGTGCACCAGCAGGCATGCAGAGCCCTCTCTGCAGCGTGCGAGCGGAATTTCCTCAGCACTGAGCATGGGATAAAAGCTGCTCTCTCTAAACTAGAGCCTAAATTGCAGTGTTTGCACTGTGCTACAGATCAGTGGGTGTGGGGTTGCAGTTTGACCACCTGGTCTCAGTGTTCTGCCTTAGAATATTGTTCATTCAGCAGCACATTGAAAGTCTTTATGTCTTCAGTTTCCTATAAACCTGAGCATACATTTACCATACAGCAACTCCAATTTCCAGGTATTCACCCAGGAGAAATTAAAGCATATGCCCACATCGAGACTCAGATGTGAATGTTCCTCGCCGCTATTATTCATAATAGCTCAAAACAGGAAGTGATCAGAATGTCCATACACTCATGCAGTGGAACACTACCCACCAATAAAAAGGAAAAAATTACTAATACAGGCACCGGCTGACAGACATCTCAAAAATATCAACAAGGTGAAAAAAACCAGATCACAGATCACATTCCATTCCTATGAAATTTCAGAAAGGTGACCACAGCGGCAGCAGGCAGGTCACAGATGGCAAGACCACGGGAGAAGAGGGAAAGGACTAACCAGGAGGCACACAAGGGAGGGGACGAGAACTACTCCACATCTGCATGTTGGGACGCTTTCATAAGCTCATGTACAGGTACACAATTCATTTATGCATGCTCTTGAAATGGGTAAATTTATTCAAGTTATTTCTCAATAAGGCTACATTTTTGTCTTTTTCAGACAGGATCTCACTATGCAGTTCAGGCTGCCCTTGAGCTCACTATGTAGTCCAAACTGGTCTTGAATTTGCCATCATCCTCCTGCCTCAGCCTCCTGAGTGCTGGGATTATAGGCGTGCACCACCAGGCCCATCTTGTTTGTTTTTGAGACAAAGTCTCACTATGTAGTTCAAGTTGGCCTTGAACCCAGGGTATAGCCCAGGCTGGCCTTGAATTTGCAGCAATATTCCTGCCTCTGCCTCCCAAGTACCGGATTACAGACATTTGCTACCACAGCTAGCTAACAAATTTAAAGATCCTACCAGGCATGATGACACACACCTGTAAGTCCAGCCCTGGGGAGGCTGAGGCAGGAGGACAATTATAAGTTCAAGGCCAGTCTGAATTACAAAGCAAGACCCTGCCTCAAAAATAAACAAAAACAAATAGTTCACAGAAGTTTATTTGCACCCTGTAACTCCAACTTTGCCCCTCTGACGAATGCTAAGGCTCTAAAATCCTAAAACTCTTAAAACTCTCAGCATCTCAGTAATGACAGAGTCTCTGCTTGGTCATGATGAATGGATGGCTGGAAGCACCTCTCAATCCCTTCAGCGTGGGGCTGGTTGCCAGAGTAGAGAGCCAAATGATGAGACCCAAAACGCCTCAGGTGGGCAGGTACACTGTCACACAAGTCCCGGGTAGGGCTGGAGATTTAGTGCAACTGAGATTGGCCACCTAAAGGCCAACCATTTCAGTAACCAACCTGCATAATGGGACACCTGCAAAACGCTAAGGGTTCAGGAGCTCCCCAGAGAGAGCAAGTTAAGTGCCATGTCTCACCCCATCCCAGTGGTCTGTGCGACTCTTCCACCAGATGTACACTAAATTCTGTGAGTCATTATAGCAAATTATGGAACCTGAAGAGAGGACTCTCAGGCAACTGAAGATTAAAGTGAATCTTTATACCTGGCTTCGTAGTGTATCTGTATCATCCCAGCACTCAGGAGGC